TTCGAGTTTTACGAGTTTTCGCATTCAGGAATCTATATTTTCTAGAAGTTTCAAAAGTTTTACCCAAACTGGAACGCACGAAGCAGTTTTGGAACCAGAATTTGATGAATTAGTGAAATTGGGAAAAATCATAATTTTCATTCAAAGCTGATCGAAAAATAGATGGCTAAAATGCAAATTTAAGTTTAAGAACAAGACATTTAGCCAAACTGGAACGCACGAAGCAGTTTTGAAACGAAAATCTGATGGATTAGTGAACTTGGGAAAAATCATAATTTTCATTCAAAGCTGATCGAAAAATAGATGGCTAAAATGCAAATTTAAAAGCAAAAACAAGAAATTTAACCAATCTGGAGTGCACGGGAAAATGTGGAAAATTTTTGAGCTCAAATTTTGCATTTTGAAATTTTAGGTTTCTAGAAGTAGTAGTTGGGGTAGTACTGCCAGTCTAGAATTTCAATTTCAAAATTTCTCAAAGATTTGGTCAAAAATCGAATCACTGCGCTCCACATAGCCGGCTAGAAGCTTTGGAGAAGTTGATTTTTGGGAAAACTTGCGAGAAATGGGTGGCATCAAAAAATTGGGAAAGAGACGGGTCAGCAGTCATTTGATTTACATTTGACGACTCCGAAAAGCAAGGGAAAGCCAAAAAGTGTGGGTTTTTGCTTCGTTTTGCATTTCCGAGTGCTCGTGGAGTACGTATTTCAGCGAATTTCTCGTATGCATTATCTGTCGGGAAAGTTTTCTTGCGCGTTTTCGGATCGGAAGAAAATCGAGCGAAATCGGGGATGAAGCTTTGTATTTTTGAGCTTTTTGGCCATTCTGGAAAGCACGAAGATATTTGGAATAGTTTAGAAGATAATAAAGCAACTTCTAAATTTTTTATAATCAGCACTCGACTTCACCCCCTCCAAAAAGAGACCGTAATGCAAAGAAGTCTGTTAATTTTTTGAGCTTTTTGACCATTCTGGAAAGCACGAAGATATCTGGAATAGTTTAGAAGCTAATAAAGCGATTTCTAAATTTATCCTAGTCCACCCCCTCCAAAAAGAGACCCTAATGAAAGAAGTCTGTAATTTTTTTGAGCTTTTTGGCCATTCTGGAATGCACGAAGATATTTGGAATAGTTTAGAAGCTAATAAAGCGATTTCTAAACTTTTCCTAATCAGCACTCGACTCCACCCCCTTCTAAAAGAAACCCTAATGCCAGTGTATGGAATTTTTGATCTTTTTGTCCATTCTGGAATGCAGGAAGATATTTGAAAAATTGATGAAGCTGAAAAGTCATATTTCAAAAAAAAAGTGCGTTACTTGATCATGTTGGGACCGCGTTGCACCCCAAGGCACAGCTGATGCTCTCTTTCTTTTCAACTCATCAATCTTTTCCACTTGTTTCACGAGATCATAAAATGGATTTGTCCCTGGGGAATCATATTTAGAAAAAGATGATGATCAGGAGACAAAACAAGGAAAATTTGTGGAGAAATGGGAGTGGACAAGAAAAAGATGGAAGGAGATGATCGATTGAGAAAAGATCCATCTTTTTGGGGAGTATGGGAGGCATGGAGGGCTGTGAAAGTGAAAATATTGGTTTATCTTAAAAACTCTAAGGCCAAGTAGTCGGCCAATAGCCAAGCTCAGGCCTAAGGGCGGTAATGGCAGTCGGTAATGGCAAGTCGGTAATGGCAGCAAAGGCAACCTTGGCCTAGGGTCTGATTCGGCAAAAAGTGCCTGTAGAACAACCCTGTTTCTAAGCCAACCCATGCTCAGGCTGTAGCTGTGAGGTTCCAGCAAAGCGATAATTTTGACTTTTCTATGGGTAAACATGGAGTGTGACTTCCAGATCGGCTAAATATTGTAGAATTTTGAGCTTAGTGTTTAAAGAATTGGGCTAAAACTGCGGGGTCTCGATTCTTGGGAACTTCAACACTTCAAAGTTGTAATTTTGAGTTTCTACATGGACAAACATGAAGTGTGAGCTCCAGATCGGCTAAATATTGTAGAATTTTAAGCTTAGTGCTTAAAGAATTGGGTTAAAAGTGCGCGAACTCGATTCTTCGGAATGTCAACACTTCAAAGTTGTAATTTTGATATTTTATATGAACAAACATGGAGTGTGAGCTCCAGATCAATCAAATATTCGAAAAAATTTTATTTTCAACGCGCAAGAATCCGGCTAAAAGTTATCAGTCTCGATCCTTGGACTTGAGGTAAAGACAAAAACATTTCCAAGGCCAAGAAATTCTACCAATTCACCAAATGAGATACAGACAATGAATACAACAATCCTCATAGATAATTTGTAAGAGAAAAGCCACGAGAATTGGCTGACTGAAAGGGCTTTCCCTTTCCTTTTCCTTTTCCACAATCGTCTCAAATTCCAGCACATGCTTTACAACAACGACTTGAAAAAAAGGATCTTTTTCCTTTCCCTTTCAATTCGATCACATTCATCTCCCGCCGGGCATGTTATTTTGATTTCTTGCTGTCACTTAGCAAATTTAATGACTGCATTTTTGAGCATTTTTGAGCATTTTTGAGCATTTTCGCTTCCCTTCAAATTCTTAAGCTAGTTTTTCGAAATTGAAAAGAAATTTGAGAAAATTGAGAAAAACAGCGATCCTGGAGCGCACAGAGTCGAAAATTTCTTTGCTTTTTGAATGGCGAACTTTTAGAGTCGCTGTTTTGGTCGGATTTTGGTCGGATTTTGGTCGGATTGGTGTTCACGCGAAAATAAACGAAACTTTGAAAGGTTTAGGGATACGAAGCGCAGAAGACAAAATCCTGGAGGGCACACAGTCGAAAATTGTGCTTTGCATTTGGAAAAGTGGGCAAAATTTTCGCCAAAAAATTGACGCCTAAACCCTGACCATTCCAAAGCCGGAATTTTTAAATGTTAATTTCGCAAAAGATTTTTGGCCCAACACTTTGCGTGCTTTCCAGATTGCAGGAAAATCAAGTCAGATTTCAAAAATTGTAAAAATTGACGTCGATTTAGCCGGGAACCCTGACCATTCCAAAACTGAAACTTTTAAATGCTAATTTCGGAAAGGATTTTTGGCTTAGTATTTTGCATGCCCTCCAGATCGCAGGAAAATCAAGTAAAATTTCGAGAATTGTAAAAATTAGCGTCAAAAATTGGATGAACCCTAGCCATTGCAAGACCAAAGCTTTTAAATGCTAATTTCGGGAAGGATTTTTGGCCCAATACTTTGCGTGTCTTCCAGATCGCAGAAAAATCAAGTCAAATTTCGAAAATTGTAAAAATTGAGGTCTATTTAGCCGTGAACACTGACCATTGCAAAACCGGAACTTTTAAATGCAAAATTTGGAAATGACTCTTTGCCTAATATTTTAAGTGCCTTCCAGATCCAAGGAAAATCAAGTCAGATTTCGAAAATTGTAAAAATTGGCGTCAAAAATTGGATGAACCCTAGCCATTGCAAGACCAAAGCTTTTAAATGCTAATTTCGGGAAGGATTTTTGGCCCAATACTTTGCGTACTTTCCAGATCGCAGGAAAATCAAGTCAGATTTCAAAAATTGTAAAAATTGACGTCTATTTAGCCGTGAACCCTGACCATTCCTAAACCAAACTTCTAAATGCTAATTTCGGAAAGGATTTTTGGCTTAGTATTTTGCGTGCCTTCCAGGTCGCAGGAAAATCAAGTAAAATTTGGAGAATTGTAAAAATTGGCGTCAAAAATTGGGTGAACTCTAACCATAGCAAAAAGTGAGACTTTTAAATGCTAATTTCGGAGAAAATCTTTGTGTTTTTGTGTAAACTGCCTTCCAGCTTGTAGGTTTTTGCATTTTACGCAAGAATTAGATCAATCTATGACTAGGATTTGGCTCATGAGAAACAGATGGCCGTGAAGGGGGCTGAGAAAGCAACAAAATGTCAAAAATGACATTTAACCAGGGAAATCGTTCAGAAATGTTACGAAAATTTGGATTTCAAAAAAATGGAGCTCATCTGGAACAAAGAAGCGTCAAAAACCCAAAAATAACTTAAATACAAATTTCGAAGCCAGAAAAAAAAGTTTGGCAAGTTTTCCCCGCAAAAAATTGAGCCAAATTTTATCGCGAAAACCGTATTGCACATTCTGGAGGGCACACTAGTGATTGGTGAGTGTGGGTGACTTTGGGGTGACTCAAGATAATTTATGGTGTCGCCGCGGCGTCATGGTCAAACTTCGGGAGTGAACGCGACTCCCCTCACTCCCAAGTCCAAGGGCATTCGAGTCGATCCTGGCGCGCCAAGGAGATCTTTGATTAACTTACTGGTTTTAAAAGAGGAACTTTTAGAATTTTAGAACAAATCTCTGGCCCTATAGATCGCCAAGTGATCTCGATTCTTGGGAACGGCAACACTTCAAAGTTGTAATCTCGACATTCTACATAGACAAACATGAACTGTGACTTCCAGATCGGCTAAATATTGCAGAATTTTGAGTTTAGTGCTTAAAGGATTGGGTTAAAAGTGCGCGATCTCGATTCTTGGGAATGCCAACACTCAAAGTTGTAATTTCGACATTTTAAATGAACAAACATGGAGTGTGGCTTCCAGATCGGCTGTATATTACAAAATTTCATTTTCAGCGCGCAAGAATCCGGCTAAAAGCCATCAGTCCGGTTCTCGGCGAATCACCAAATCTCAAAGTTGAGATTTGGAGTTTTTGAATGGATAACCATGTAGTGTGACTTCCAGATCGTTCCAAAACCCCGTAACTAGACTTTATTTCACAAATTCGACAAAAGGAAACACGAGAAAACGATCACATCAGAGTTTATCTCACTTTTGTTGGCACTTTCTCGAAAATTTGAATCGAAAATCGAATTAATGGCTGAGCTGGAGTGCACAGGAGGTAATGAAATAGAAAAAAGTAAAAAAATGGAAAAAAGAAAAAAAATAAATTTTTGGCATTGTTGGAGTTGAGCTAAATGGAGAGTTTTGACTGGGAGATTGACTAAAAAGCAATTTTTTAAATAAATTGGCTAATCCATCATATTTTCCCTTTCCGGGTCGTCGTTTCGATGCCGAATTCGGTCCACGAGGCGATGCCAACATCCGCCGAGCGCCACCCGGTTGAACACCGTCAACGTGACGACGTTCGTCAATAAAAAAAGGCCAGCGGCTGAGCCAAGGATCTGAAAACGAATTTTTTGATGGTTTTGGAAGGCACAAAACTGAAAGACACTTCTATTTTGCTTTGAAAGTGATTTTGAGGCGAGTGGTGTTACCGAATTAGAGTTGACCGAGAAATTTTGCAAGCGCTGCAAGGGAATTAACTTCTAACGTTTTCTGGGCTCATCCTGGAAGGCACGCAGCTGAAAAATAAACTAATCACCGGGAAATTTGCATTTTAAGCAAAACCCGGCATCGAACAAATCGCATCGAACGAATCTTCAAATCAAAAATCGAATTTCAACAAATTTAAGGAAATTTTTGGGAAAATCAGTAGCGTGCCTTCCAGAAAGACGATTGGATTCTTGAGAGTTCACCTAAATGAGCGAATTTTCAAAATTTTTACCCAGCTATTGCTTGGCAAGTCCCAAATTTTTCAAAATTTTTTAATTCCGTTATTTTTGCGCTCTTTACTTGGTGTGCGCTCCAGATAAGCCAAAAATCGAAAAAATTTCCCATTCCACTCACCCAATTCCAAATTTGGCTAATCTGCAGATCGTGACGACAATTGGCGGTTGAGTGCTTCCCCTCGAGGGTATGCCCGGGAATGACTTGGATCTCTCGGCTGTCTGACTCATTTGCGGCAAATGTTGTGGATAGACAGAGAACTGAAATCGGGTTTTGGATTTGTGTTCAGATTGATCTACGGGTTGATCTACAGGTAGATCTTGCTCGAAACGCTAGGGTCAAGAAAATCCCCAAAATTCCCAAGTTGCTTCAAATTTTAAACCCTCCAAGGGCCATTCTGGAACGCACAACGCTCAAAAATTAAATTAAATCATCAGAAAATTCATTTTAAACTTTTGACACTTGGGGATTCTGTAGCTGGGGCATTAAATAGACCTCTGGTTTGTTACGCAAAAATTTTAAACACTTCATAGGCCATCCTGGAACGCACAACGCTTAATAGTTAAACAAAATCATCAGAATACTCATTTAAAATTTTGACATTTTGGGATACTGTAGCTGGGGCATTAAATAGACCTCTGGCTTGTTACTTAAAAATTTCAAATACTTCATAGGGCATCCTGGAACGCACAACGCTTAATAGATAAACAAAATCATCAGAAAGTTCATTTTATGCTTTTAGCGTTCTGGGATACTGTAGCTGGGGCAAGCAATAGAATTCTGATTTGTTACTCAAAAATTTCAAACACTCCATAGGCCATCCTGGAACGCACAAAGCATATAACCAACAAAAAAAAGGCGCTTGGAAGAATTAAGAATTTGAAAATAGTTTATGGTTTTTTAAAAGTTCGCAAACAAACCCACCAGTTAACTCGAGAAAAAAAATCGCCGTTTTCATCTCGTTTTGGATTTTCAGTCAATTTTCTCGCAAATATTTCCTGAAAATTTGAATTTTAAATTTAAATGCAAATTTTTAAAATCATTTTTCAAAAGGAAATCAAAAAAAGTTGGAAAGAAATGGAATGGCTTTAAAGAAAACGCAACAAACGAGTACTCTATTTTGTTTTTTTTGCGGGAAAAGGGCCACCTTTAGAAAGAGAGAAGAGAGAGAAAAAGGAGTTTGCCGATTTTGAAATACCTTGCGTAAGCCGAGAAGAAAGGATAGAAAAGATTTTAGGATTTTGGCGCCAAAACTGTTGTTTGATAGTAGTTTTGGAGAAACTTTTAAATTATTTAGTCAATCTGGATGTCACAGAATAGCTCTAGAATAAAATGTAAGCTTGATTCGGTAGACATTTTGATCTCAATTTTCACCGGTAGAGTTCGACAGAAAAATTGTTCTCAAAAGTTGGTTTTAGCCAAAAATTTCAAAATATTCGGTCAAGCTGGATGTCACCAAAGATATCTAGAAGAAAAGATTAGCTTGACTCGATAGAAATTAGGGACCCAAAACTCGTTCAATGAGTCTGACGGAAAACGCTGCTCAAAAGTCGATTTTCGCCGGGAATTTTGCGATCATTAGTCAATCTGGATGTCACGGAACAGTTCTAGAATAAGATCTTGGCTTGTTTCAGTAGAAAACTTTGGTCAAGATTCGGCGGAACGACTCTGACGGAAAACGCTGCTCCTGAATTCGTTTTGGCCAGAAATTTTGCGATATTCAGTCAAGCTGGATGTCACAGGATTAGAAAATTTTTAAAAAATTGCTAGTTTTCACGAAAAAATCAAAATTTGCCGATTTGCGAGATTTTGCGAAGGAAAAATGCGAAATCGACGTAATTTTTGGTCAATTGAAGTACAAGAGCCACGTTGCATAAGATTTTTTCGAAATTACTCAAAAAGAGTTTACAAAATTGTACCAGAAAAAGGGGGGCGAATGGGAAAAAACGCCAAAACGGGGGAAAGAGGAAAGAAAGTTCGATCGATTCTCGTCACCAAAGGGATTTCCGTTTTTTTGCCCCATCATCCCCCGATTTTTAGCTGATTTTCGGCGATTCTGGAACGCACATGGAATTATCGTGAGGAAATTTTTGAGAGAAAGTGGTTTTTAAAAATTGAGTCTTTAACAACTTCACCATTTCACCAGCTACAATATTTTTTTCTTTAAAAGCACAAAATCGATTTTTTTTTATTACAGGCAACTCTAGTGCGTTCCAGAACTTGCATTTATGGTTTTAGAAAGTTCGCAGAATGGGTCTATAGAGGGTAAAACTCGTAGAGCTCGTAGCTGACTCAACTACCCTGATAACAGAATGACGAAATGATCAATTTTAGACCGATTGTTGGCTTGTGTGCGTCCCAGGATCGCCGATTATAATTTTTCTGGAACGCCTTTTTTTTCTGGAAGCCCACTTCTGGAAGCCCACTTCTGGAAGCCCACTTCTGGAAGCCCACTTCTGGAAGCCCACTTCTGGAAGCCCACTTCTGGAAGCCCACTTCTGGAAGCCCACTTCTGGAAGCCCACTTCTGGAAGCCCACTTCTGGAAGCCCACTTCTGGAAGCCCACTTCTGGAAGCCCACTTCTGGAAGCCCACTTCTGGAAGCCCACTTCTGGAAGCCCACTTCTGGAAGCCCACTTCTGGAAGCCCACTTCTGGAAGCCCACTTCTGGAAGCCCACTTCTGGAAGCCCACTTCTGGAAGCCCACTTCTGGAAGCGCCCCGTAGAGAGCCGAATTCAAAGAGACCAGAAAAAAGGGGGTCGGGATGAATGCCTTTAACAATTTTAAAGCATTCCACTAAATCGATGATAAGGCGGCGTTGGTGTTTCAAGACCAAGAGTTGCGATCTATCAGAATAAGTAAAGGAGGAGAATTTGTCAAAATTAATTTTATAAAGAGCAATTCTGGTGAAGTGACCTCCAGAATGGGCAAATTTCAATTCAAAAATAGGAAACGTTCAAGAAAAGCGAAAACATTTGCGTGAAGGTAAAGCCGCGGTGTTTGGAGGGATAAACAAATCCCCAGCATTAGCTCTGACTCAATCAGTACTTTCAGCGTCGCCTTTTGCTCAAAAAATATTTGCTGGAAAGATAAGCGCTTTTTGGCGTTCATGAAGTGGCTTTGAGTCACCGGAATTCTTTATTTTTGGCGAAATTTGACTTTTTGGACTTTTTGAATGCAAATTTCAGGAATAAATGCAAATTTTCAAGATTTTTACATGCAAATTTTCAAAATTTTTGCATGTAAATTGTGAAAAATTTAGATGCAAATTTCAAAAATTAAAATGCAAATTTCAAAAATTTAGATGCAAATTGCAAAAATAAAAATGCAAAATTCAAAAATTAAAATGCAAAATTCAAAATTTTTACATGCAAATTTCAAAATTTAAATGTAGATTTTCTAAATTTTAAATGTAAATTTAATTTAATGTAAGTTGTAAATTGTTTTAAATGTAAATTCTAAATGCAAATTTCTTGAATTTAAATGCAAAATTTAAAATTTCTACATGCAAATTTCAAAATTTTAAATGCTAATTGAAAAGTTTAAATGTTAATTTCCAAAACACGTTTTATTCAAAAAGTCGATGATATTCTTGGGCTTTTTTCTTGGTTTTTCCCCATTCACATTGTTTCCTCCGGTGACGAGCTGCGCCGGTGGCGGCGGTGGCTGGAAAATTGACTTCTGAATACGGTAATCCAACTCGAAAGCTACAATCAAGAAATTTCCCAAAATTCCCAAGTTGCTTTAAATTTTAAACACTCCCAGGGCCATCCTGGAACGCACAACGCTTAATATTTAAATAAAATCATCAGAAAACTCATTTTAAAATTTTGACATTTTGGGATACTGTAGCTGGGCAAGAAATACAATTCTGGTTTGTTGGCTAAAAATTTTAAACACTCCAAGGGCCATCCTGGAAGGCACAACGCTTAACAGTTAAACAAAATCATCAGAAAACTCATTTTAAACTTTTGACACTTCCGAATGACCAAATCGGATTCTAAAACAAGTCCCGGTTACCGTAGTCCAGCATCCAGGACCAGTGATGTCAAATTCAAATATTTCCCTGTGTGACCTACTGTTTCTTGTGGTGACGACGGCGATGCTCGTGCGAGCCGGACGACGACGAGGAGCTGGACGACGATTTCGGCCATTTGTACCCGTCTTTGTTCCATCCGCCGTAGCGCAACTGGAAAAGTGACTCGTTATTGATTTCCTAGCTTTCAAAAAAGCTTTTGTGCCTTCCAGGATTTACGAATATAGTTTTTTAAAAGACTGAAACCGATTTACTTTGACTCAAAAAAGGTCGAACAAGAAAAACCCTTGAATCACTCAAAATTCTTGTGATAAACTCGTAAAATTCTCAGCTAAACATCCCAAATGTGTTCCAGGATTGAAAAATAGAAAAAAAACTGACCCGGGTTGGATAGGAGGGCGCGTAGCCGACCGGGTTCCACTGCACGGGTGGAGGCTGAAAGTGGTGATTGTCATTTATGGTAAATCTCTCTACTGATGTGCGTAAAATCCCTAGTGACTTCCAGAATTAACATTAGCGCATTCGAAAACTTTTGGAAAGCACTGGAACAATCTCTAAACACAGCCTACTCCATCTCGACCAGGTGCCTGACTATTTTTGTCCGAAACCGGCTAATTTTCCATCCAAAACCCCTAGTGGCTTCCAGAATTAACATTAGTGCATTCGAAAACGTTTAGAAATCACTGAAACAGTCTCAAACCACAGCCTACTCCCTCTCGACCAGGCGCTCTGACTATTTTTGCTCAGAGAAATCTGATTTTCCATCCAAAACCCCTAGTGACTTCCAGAATGGACAGTTCACGTTTGAATTTCCTGACTCACATAATAGGATGCGGCGGACGGGGGTGGTGGGAGTCCGTAGCTTTGCCCGTTCACGAAAATCACCGCACAGCCCAGGAAAAGCAGCGAGCACACCAAAACATCTTTAAGCATCTTCTGCAATTATATTATATTCAAAAAGCAACAAATTCTAGAAAGCCGAAAGATTTAAATGAAAATTTTCTCGGAACGTCAATGTTTTTAAGGTGATTTCCGTGATTCACCAAAGCCCAGTCAAAGCATCGAATCGCCCCCAAAACGGAGATCGCTGCGGAAATCCCATGAGATCTTTGGTGAATCGACATTTTCACATTCACAGTGTGCAAACTGGGCGTCAGAAAAGTCACAGTTAAAGATATAAAGGTCGATAAAGATCTATAAAGATCTATAAAGATTTTTGCTTGATTTTGCTTGAAAATTTTGAAGCATTTGATCAAGCTGGATGTCACGGAACAGCTCTAGAGTAAGATATTGGCTTGATTCGGTAGAAAACCTTGGTCAAGATTCGGCGGAATGAGTCTGACGGAAAATCCTGCTCAAGAGTCGATTTTCGCCGAGAATTTTGCGATAATTAGTCAATCTGGATGTCACGGAACAGTTCTAGAATAAAATGTAGGCTTGATTCGATAGACATTTTGATCTCAAGTTTCACCGGTAGAGTTCGACAGAAAAATTGTTCTCAAAAATTGGTTTTAGCCAAAAATTTCAAGATATTCGGTCAAGCTGGATGTCACGAAAGATATCTAGAATAAAAGATTAGCTTGACTCGATAGAAATTAAGGACCCAAAACTCGTTCAATGAGTCTGGCGGAAAATTCTGTTCAAGAATTGATTTAGGCCAGGAATTTTGCGATAATTAGTCGATCTGGATGTCACGATACGGTTCTAGAATAAGATATGGGCTTGATTCGGTAGGAAACCGGTTGAAGATTTGGTGAAATGAGTCTGACGGAAAATTCTGCTCCTGAATTCGTTTTGGCCAGAAATTTTGCGATAATTAGTCAATCTGGATAGCACAAAAGATATCTAGAAGATAAAAAGATTAACTTGGTTCCACGGAAATTTTCGAGTTCGATAGTCGATAGTCGATTTCCATTTCGGGATACTGTAGCTAGAGCGCTACAGACCTCTACAGTACACCCAATCTAGCTTTTGTGCTTTCCAGCTTACACCAAAACCATATTTTTATCTCAAAAAAACTCAGCCAATGCGCGCTAAACTGAGCCTCGACGAAAGAACCTTACGAAAAGTTCTTACGATAAGTTCTTACGGTAAATTTCATCCACCAAATAGAAATCGAGCTTTTGTGCGTTCCAGCTTGCCCCAGAAACCAGAAGAGACCAGAAACCAGAAGCCTAAGCCCAAGCAAGGCATGGAAAATTCGGTCGCCTCGAAATTCGTCCCGCCAAAAAGTTTTGTCTCGCTCACAAATTTTCCCCCATTAATTTCTATCGTCAATTCATTGCGATGAGCCATTTTTTTGTTTTGTCTCAAAAATCGAGAAATTTACGAGGATTTTCCCAATAAATTTTGTCTCGTTGGGGTGAGAGAAATTGAGGATAAAAGAGGCGGATTCAGGGCATGAAAGTATCCAAAATTTTCGAATTCAAACTTTTCCTTGAGCAAATCTTCTAGAAAATTTACATGACATCCAGGATTTACATTTTTAAAATCTAGAACACTTTTTGAGTTACAGTTTATTGCAAAATCATCCAGTCCTATAGCAGACCAAATCCAAAATTTTCAAATTCAAAGTTCTTCATTATCCAATCTTCTAGAAACTTTACATGACATCCAGAATTGCCATTTTTAAACTTTAGAAGCCTGAAAGACTTACGGAGTACGGTAGATTCTCCCAGCCTTTAATTTAGCATATCCGAAATTTTCGAATGCTAACTTTTTCATTATCCGACCTTCTAGAAATTTTATGTGATATCCAGGATCATCATTTTTAAAATCTAAATAAATTTTTGAGCTAAGGGTTATTGTAAAATCATCCAGTCCTAAATATCCAAATTTTTCAAATTCAAAGTTTTCCTTGAGCTAATCTTCTAGAAACTTTACATGACATCCAGAATTGCCATTTTTAAAATCTAGAACACTTTTTGAGTTACAGGTTATTATAAAATCATCCAGTCCTAAAACTTTCCAATTCCGAATTTTTCAAATTCAAAGTTTTCCTTGATCCAATCTTCTAGAAAGCTTACATGATATCCAGGATTGCCATTTTTAAAATCTAGAACACTTTTTGAGCTACAGAGTACGGTAGATTCTCTCAGTCAGTTAGAGCTCTTTTTTAAATTAGAATTTCAAATTTTCAAAGGTTTTCTGCAAAAGGTTTCCTCTTAAACACCCAAGTGCGTTCCAGGAATGAGGTTTTTGGGAATAACGGTGAGCTCTCTACTATTGTCGGTGGCCTTCGCGCAGTACGGAGCTCCAGCTGCCGCGCCGCCAGCTCCCGGCTACGGTGATCAGCAACAGGATGCGCCTGTCGTCGCCGCCGCTCCTCCACAGATCACTTGGGTGCGTGGATAAGTCTTAAATAGTCTTAAATAGTCTTGATTATCTAAAAATAGCTTTTAAGCCATCTAAAAGCTGCTTGCTATTTGACGCTTAAACTACAGTACCCCTGAGGACCGAATTTTTTCAAATTTAAAAAACTGACCTTTAAAATTTAATTTCTAGCAAACATGACATCCAGAATCTCCAAAAATCAAATTATTTTTTCCATAATTTTTCTAAAAACCATAAAATTCCAGGGCCAAGCGAACGTGCCCGTCTTCCAACTTCCGGCACTTCACGAATTCGTGAGTGATTTTTTTCTAAATTTTTCCTGTGACATCCAGGATTTCGAAAAATGCTGCAATTTTTCAAATCTGAAAATTTTTTTGAGGAAAAATTGAGTCAAACTCGAATGAATCGTTTTCTAGTTATTCCGCCGTCGCCGCCACCATAGCTCCAGCAGCTCCAGCAGTGGATCCGGATCGGGAAGGTTGGTGCAATTGAATTCGAAAAAGTTTCTGATTTTAGTAGCTCCTCTGGCTCATCCGGATCCGACTCGGACAGTGGATCGTCTGACTCTAGCTCTAGCTCCGGATCGGGATCAAGCTCAGGAAGGTGAGGCTCGGGAAGGTCATTTAGCTAGAAATTCGGTTTTGAAAGCTTTAACTTTAACTATGGAAGGCACACTATGTATTGAAAGAGTTAAATAAGAGAAAGCTTTAATTTTGATTTCTGTATTTAGGTCGGTTAGAGTAGTGAAGCGTAGGCAAACGATCGTTGTCTTAAAATCAAATTTCTGTCAGTTTCTAGCGACTATGGGAAGCACGCTAGGCTCTGAAAGAGTTAGATAAGAGAAAGCTTTCATTTTGATTTCTGTATCTAATCGGTTAGAGTAGTCAAGCGTAGACAAACAACCGTTGTCTTAAAATCAAATTTCTGTCAGCTTTTAGCGACTATGGAAGGCACATTACCAAATGGTTATAAAATATTTCATCAAATCGATATTTTCAGCGGATCGGGCTCTAGCTCAAGCTCGGGATCAGGCTCTCACTCCGGCTCGTCGGACTCCTCCGACTCGGGAAGGTTCGTTGCAAGAAAAGCTTGTCCAACCCATTACAGTAATCGTAAAAGACACCATATCTACAGTAGCTCAGTTTTTCTAGCTACAGTAATCAAATACCTATTTTCAGCCGTCGCCATCGTCACAGACATCATCGGTTGGTGGTTTTTGAAGAAAATTGGGTTACTGTAATGTCTCCTTGGGTCAATTTCAACTTTAAAGTACTTTGCGACTTTTCCGAGCACTGATTCGGGGTTCTAAAGTTTCTTCTAAGTACCGTAACTCAGCCTGTTTTTTGATTTTTTTAAGTTGATAGTTTTTTCATTATCCAAGCTTCTAGAAAGTTTACATGACATCCAGGATTTACATTTTTAAAATCTAGAACACTTTTTGAGCTACAGGGTATTGCAAAATCATCCAGTCCTAAAGCAGACCAAATCCAAATTTTTCGAATTCAAAGTTCTTCATGATCTAATCTTCTAGAAAGTTTACATGATATCCAGGATTGCCATTTTTAAACTTTAGAAGCTTGAAAGGCTTACAGAGTACGGTAGATTCTCCCAGTCTTTTATTTAGCATATCCAAAATTTTTCCCCCGGCCATAAGTAGAACGCCGCACCGACATTTTCGTGTGCGGTGGGGGGCCTTAGGCACAGACGCAGCTAAATTTGCCCTTGTTAACAATGAGGAACAGATTCGGGACGGACGGAAGGAGAACCTCTCTAAATTCTGCTTTGTAAAAGTTCACTGCCATTACTTTTTTTCTAGTAGAACGATTTCTTTAAAAGAACGTTTTTTATGCTAGCTGGATGGCAACTTTAAAAAGTTATTGTTTAATTTTTTGAGTTGTACGATTTAAATTTTGTATATGATGTGGGGCTTTTGGATTGGACTTGTGGGGAGATTACTGTCGATTACTGTCGATTACTGTCGATTACTGTCGATTACCGTCGATTACTGTCGATTACTGTCGATTACCGTCGATTACCGTCGATTACTGTCGATTACTGTCGATTACTGTCGATTACTGTCGATTACTGTCGATTACTGTCGATTAATGTCGATTACTGTCGATTAATGTCGATTACTGTCGATTAATGTCGATTACTGTCGATTACTGTCGATTACTTTAACCTAGCCTACAGTAGCTCTTACAAACTGTAACTGGTTACTGCTCTCAATCTGGTTACTGAAGACTGTCCATCTGCCCTCAATCTGTCCTCAATCTGTCCTCCATCTGCCCTCAATCTCAATCAAGTTTTCAGCCGTCATCACCATCATCATCATCATTTCCCATACGGAGGATACGGCCAAGGATACGGCGGATATGGAGGTGGATATGGAGGCGGATATGGCGCCGGAGCTTACCAGCCATCAGCCTACGGAAAATAAGCAGTGGATGGGCAGAGTGATCATTTTATTTGAATAAATCCACCGTTTTTTTGAGAGCTTGAGATCAAATGCGTTCCAGATTGAAAGAAAACAGTGAAAAGTTTGCATTTATTCGAAAATAAAGTGACAGAGAGCTCAGTATTGAGATTGGGGGCGTTTATGTTGCTTTGTTTTGCTTAAAATTGCTGAAATTGATTGGAATGGTCAATCTGGATGTCATTTGGCTGTTTGGGCACAAAATCAGGGATGATATGCAAATTCTAAAACTTCGTTCAACTAAAAAATGAGCTGGGTAATTAAACCAAGGAAAATGTTGCAGGAAATGGGAAACGCCAATCAAAATGCCCGATCTGGATGTCATTTGGCCTTTTTGGGCACAAAATCAAGGGTTATATACAAATTTGAAAACTTCGTCAAACTGAAAAATGAGCTGGGTAATTAAACCAAGGAAAATGTTGCTGAAAGTTCAAAAAACCGATCGAATTCTCCGATCTGGATGTCATTTGGCCCTTTGAAAAAGAAATCGAGCGAATTAGCAGCAATTTTCACAAAATCCCCCAAACAACCATCGAGCTGAACAAACAGAACACCGAGAAAGGCACCCAAACAATAGCTGGGTGAAAATTTTGTAAATTCGCTCATTTAGTTGAACTCTCAAGAATCCAATCGTCATTCTGGAAGGCACGTTATTGACTTTCCTAAAAATTTCCCGAAATTTGTTGAAATTCGATTTGATTTGAAGATTTGTTCGATGCTTAATGGGTTTTGCTTAAAATGCAAATTTCCCGGCGATTAGTTTATTTTTCAGCTGTGTGCCTTCCAGGATGAGCCTAGAAAACGTTAGAAGTTAATTCCCTTGCAGCGCTTGCAAAATTTCTCGGTCAACTGTAATTCGGCAACACCACTCGCCTCAAAATCACTTTCAAAGCAAAATAGAAGTGTTTTTGAGTTGTGTGCCTTCCAGAACCACCGACAAATTCGTTTTCAAATCCTTGGCTCAGCCGCTGTCGCTTGGAAACCGCTGAAAACCGCTGGAAACCGTCATCACGTCATTTTACGACACCAATTCCCTCGAAATCACTCAATTTTTGAATATTTACCTTTTCTGGAAAGCACGAGACCGAAATAAAGCAAAAGAACAGGTTTTGAAAAGGGCTTGGAAAGAGGAGACTCAGCAAACCAGTTGCTCAATATTTTAGCCTCAAAATTTCTCACAATTTCTATGCTAATAAAAAATTTGAGCTTTCTGGAGAACACATTATCTAATTATCGAAAAAAAATTAGCATTTAAGCATTCATTCTTTAGCTCTAAAGTTTCTTCCAAGTACCGTCACTCAGCCTGTTTGTTGATTTTTTTAAGTTGATGTTTTTCATTATCCAATCTTTGAGAAAGTTTACATGACATCCAGGATTGCCATTTTTAAAATCTAGAACACTTTTCGAGCTACAGGGTATTATAAAATCATCCAGTCCTAAAACCTACCAAATCCAAATTTTTCGAATTCAAAGTTTCCCATGATCTAATCTTCTAGAAAATTTACATGATATCCAGGATTGCCATTTTTAAACTTTAGAAACCTGAACCGCTTAGGACGGTAGAGAGTACGGTAGATTCTCCCAAACTTTAATTTAGCATATCCAAATTTTTTCAAATTCAAAGTTTTCCTTTAACCTATCTTCTAGAAAATTTACATGACATCCAGGATTGCCATTTTTACAATCTAGAACACTTCTCGAGCCACAGGGTATTGTAAAATCATCCAGTCCTGGAACACAATATCCGAATTTTCCGAATTTGAATTTTTCCTTGATCTAATCTTCTAGAAAGCTTACATGACATCCAGGATTGCCATTTTTAAAATCTAGAACACTTTTTGAGCTACAGGTTATTATAAAATCATCCAGTCCTAAAGCAGACCAAATCCGAATTTTTCGAATTCAAAGTTCTTCATTCTCTAATCTTCTAGAAAATTTACATGACATCCAGGATTGCCATTTTTAAAATCTAGAACACTTTTCGAGCTACAGGGTACTGTGAAATCATCCAGTCCTAAAACTTTCCAAATCCGAATTTTTCAAATTCAAAGTTTTTCATTATCCACAATTTCTATGCTAATAAAAAATTTCAGCTTTCTGGGAAGCACGTTATCTAATTATCGAAGAAAATTAGCATTTAAGCATTCATTCTTTAGCATTCTTTTTTTAACTAAAATCCAATGTTCAATGTGCATAAAAAGCCGAAAATGAGTCAAAATTCGAGCGGTTTCTCTTTTCTCTCCATTTCTTATCAGTTTTCAAAGTATTTAAGGCTTTCCCGAGCACATTTCGTTGTTGGAAACGAGAAGAAAAAGAAATGGAGAGATTTTGGCGATTTTCTATATTTTTTCTGCTATTTTTGGTGACGTTCGGTTGGTTTCTGAAAAATTTTCGAATTCTCAAATTTTGAATACCTTAAAATATTGTGTGACATCCAGAACTAGAGAAATTTCGATTTGAATTGGAAAAGGGTTTTGTTTGGCAAAGATTCGGGGCTCCAAAGCTATCTCTAGAGCCGAAACTTTTAAAAAGGTAATCCTAAGGATTTGAGTAGCTCAAAAGCTAGCATGACATCCAGAACTAACGAAATTTCCATTTGAATTGGAAAAGGGTTTCGTTTAGCAAAGATTCAAGGCTTCATAGCTTCAGGCTCGCAGCCAAAACTTTTAAAAACCCAATCTCAAAAATCTGAATAGCTCAAAATATTGTGTGACATCCAGAACTAGAGAAATTTCGATTTGAATTGGGAAAGGCTTTTGTTTGGCAAAGATTCAGGGCTCCAAAGCTATCTCTAGAGCCGAAACTTTTAAAAAGGCAATCTTAAGGATTTGAGTAGCTCAAAAGCTAGCATGACATCCAGAACTAGAGAAATTTTCATTTGAGTTGGAAAAGGTTTCCGTTTAGCAAAGATTCAAGGCTTCATAGCTTCAGGTTTATAGCCCGAACTTTTAAAAAGGCAATCTTAAGGATTTGAATAGCTCAAAAATCAGCATGACACCCATAGTTATCGAAACAAATTCGGATAACACTGAATGCATACTCAAAACGAGTTTCCAGCGCGGAACCCGTGTCGCCAACGCGTCTACCCTGACACCGCAACCGGAGCTGCGATCGGGTGCGTGTGCAACGCGAGCTATTGCGACGATTTCGATGACGTTGGGAATATCACAGTAAGCGATCTGGAACTCACGATAGAGATTTGAGCGGTGATCGTTGCAAAAAAGTCAAAACTAAAAATTTGACTTTAACGCAACGACTTTGACTCAAAATTTTCAACTTCTCAAAACGAACCTCGAATTCTTTTGCGCTGAAACTCAGTTCTGGAAGGCACAGCACCTTTTGAAAGTGTTAGAAATTGATTATTTTAAATTTTTTATATATTGGGTTGTCCAATTATGCATATACTCTTTTGTAAATTTCTCAAGATATCGAACAGATGTAGATGAGTGTTATATATCATTCGAAAGCTGAAGATCTCCTCTACATTTTGGAATAAAAACCTTTTTGAATTCATTCAACTTTTTGGGGAAATTGACTGCACAAAGGGAGAGGTGGTTTTCGAAAAAAACCCATTCCAGCTTAGCTAATTCCTCAAGCCGAAGCCTGAGCCTGAGTTCGAGCCGAAGCCTAAGCCGAAGCCTGAGTTGGAGCCGAAGCCTAAGCCTGAGCCTGAGTCTAAGCCTAAGCCTAATCCTGAGCCTGAGTTGGAGCCGAAGCCTAAATCGAAGCTTAAGCCTAAGCCTGAGCGAGTTCTGGCACACTGATCAGCTTTTTTGAGCTTCAGCGTGCCAGAAAGCTTGAGTTTCCTGGGCCGTAAAGTATATAAACTAGCTGGAAATAGCTTTCGAATAATGCTCATATATATATCTTTTTCTTGATTTCGGTATCCTGAGAAATTTACAAGATTTCGACGATTTCGATGACGTGGGGAGCATCACAGTAAGTGATCTGGAACTCACGATAAAGATTTGAGCGGTGATCGTTGCAAAAAAGTCAAAACTAAAAATTTGACTTTGACGCAACGACTTTGACTCAAAATTTTGAACCTCTCAAAACGAACCTCGATTTCTTTTGCGCTGAGACTCAGTTCTGGAAGGCACAGCAAGTTTTGAAAGTGTTAGAAATTGAGATTTTCTATATTGTAACTGGGTCAACATTTAGAAAGATGCCTTCGTGCTGTTTCTTTCTTCAAGAGACGGGAATCGAATGGACCGAATCGACTATCATTTCACCGCTTTCCCAAGTGAAATCTATTTATTGAGATTGATTTACAAAATCCGTAAGCCTTTTCAGACGTCTCCGACACGATCACGATCGATTTCGGCAAGAGATTCCAGGTAGGAAAGTGAAAAGTTAAAAAATGAAAAAATGACCTCAAAAACTCTGCCAATATTCCTCGTGCCTTCCAGAAAGGCTAAATTTTACAAAATAAACTAAAGTTTTCATCTCTTGGCTTCCCGAAACTCGCCAGCTATTTTTCGTCTTATCCAAATGCTACAGTATGACAAATTGAGTACGGCAATCATCCTAGTGCCTTCCAGAAAGGCTAAATTCGAGAAAAGTTATCGGATTCAGTGAATTTCCCTTCCAGAAAGTGCTCGGATTCGGTGGAGCGATCACCGATTCGGTTGGGGTGAATTTGAGGAAACTCTCGCAGGCGACAAGTGATCAACTCATCAATCAATACTACGGGAAAGCTGGTGCGTGTCAAAAAAAAACTACCAAAACGGGTTTTGAAAATCGGTGGCTGGACGTTGAAATAGTTCTTGTGTAAGTGTGAAGCCTTTTTTTCATGCGTTGAGAGCACACAAAACACACGCAAACCCTCATCCAAACGCTCATTCCTTCAATTCCAGGCATTGGCTATCGTTTGACGCGAACTGTTGTCGCGTCAGCGGATTTCTCGACGCACGTCTACTCATACAATGATGTTGATCAAGATTTCGACATGAAAAACTTCAATTTGACACAAGAGGATTATTTGTATAAGGTGAGTGACGGTAGAGCTCGAGAAGAGACAATTGTGGGAGTCTGTAGGCAGAATATAGAATGAGGATGCCTATTGGACTTGTAACGAAGTCGGTTGGCGATTTTTCGGTTTTTCATGTTCTTCTCAGGCCAGATCCTTCCATTTTGATTATTTTGGCTATCATTCGATGCAGAATCAAATACCGCGTCGAATGACACCAAAACGAGCTCAAAAGATATGATCTACCCAAAGTTATAAGGCAAAAGTAAAGTGGGCGGGGCTTAGGTTTTTAGCCAGTAACTTTGCATTGATACCATATTTGGGGTTGATTTTGGTGTCATTCGAAGCGCAATTCAATTCCGCATCGAATGACACCAAAATCAACTCAAAATCTAATATCCACGGAAAGTTATGAAGTCGCAAAGTTACGAAGGCCCATAGTGGGCGGGGCTTAGTTTTTTAGCCAATAACTTTGCGTAGAGATTAGATCTTGAGCTCGTTTTGGTGTCATTCCACGCAGAATTTGATTCTGCATCTAATGAGATTAAAATCAGCTCAGAATATAGTATCAATGCAAAGTTACTGGCTAAAAACCTAAGCTCCGCCCACTTTACTTGTTGCCTCATAACTTTGCGTAGATAATGTCTTTTGAGCTCGTTTGGGTGTCACTCGACGTGTAATTTTCTTCTGCATCAAATAATGGTTAAAACAGTTAAAATCAAAGGGCTAGTGCTGAGAAAAATACGAAAAACCTTTTGCCAGCAGCGAAAAACGGCCGGCAAATGTTTTTGGCACAATTTTTGTTTGTTACCGTCCTCCAATTCCCCTTGAGACCGTTTTAATGCGTTTTCTACAATGAAAAGCTATCGTAACGCGCTTGTCTTTTCAAATTTGATCATCCGGATCATTTAGTAGCGTAAAATGTTTCATTTCGTCGTTTTTTTATAAGTCTTACGGTTTTTGAGTCACTTTCTAGGAAACTGTGAGACAGACAGACAGACAGACAGACAGACAGACAGACAGATAGACAGATAGACAGGCAGGCAGACAGACAGGCAGACAGCGAGACGAGACAGAGAGACAGACAGACAGACAGACAGGCAGGCAGACAGACAGACAGGCAGACAGAGAGACAGAGAGACAGACAGACAGACAGGCAGACAGGCAGACAGACAGACAGACAGACAGACGGCTCAAAGTTGAAACCAATTCTTGATTCAAATCTGGGCGTCCCATTTGATGGGATGACATCCAGTTTCAACAAAACACATGCTATTTTCTAGATTCCGTACATCAAGCAAGCTCTTTCCCTATCGAAGGCGAATGGCATCGATTTAAAGCTCTTTTGCACGGCGTGGGCACCGCCTGGGTGGATGAAAAGCAATGGAAAGATGGAGGTGGGTGAAATTCAAGTTTAATTCCAATTTTATCAAATTTTTGATTCCAATTTGCCTATAGTGCGTTCCAGAAAGCACGAAAAAATTGTCGAAACTTGAAAAAAAATTTTTTTGACGGTTCAGGGCGGCGCGAAGATGAAAGGCTCGACTGATGGACCCTACTACAAAGCCTATGCCACGTATTATAAAAGGTGCGTACATTTGTTATGCGTTCCAGATTGCTGAAAAAGTTGGTTAAAACATTTTGAATTTCGGTTTTGAGACCAGAAAATGCTCAGAGTTTTCCTGGGTAATTTATCGTAGTCTCATTTGTCAGAGTTGGGTAAATTACCGTAATCCAAAAAGTGTGGTGCGCTCCAGATTGCTTAAAAAGTTAGTTAAAAAATTCTGAATTTGAGTTTCGAGACAAGAAAATGCTCAGAGTTCTGTTCTTGGGTCACCGTAGTCTCACTTGTCAAAGTTGGATAGATTACCGTAATCCATAAAATGAGGTGCGCTCCAGATTGCTTAAAAAGTTGGTTAAAGATTTTTGAATCTCATTTCTCAGCGAAAAAACCGTTCAAAGTCATTTGCTGCCGTTTTCTAGGTTTTCGACAGACTCTAAATCCCATTTTCAGATTCTTTGAGGAATACCACAAAGAGGGAATCGATTATTGGGGAATGACGCCAACGAATGAGCCGCTAGAGGGCAGGAATGCCGACTACAAATTCCAAGTGGTCAACTTCGAGGCCGAGGATGAGCGGTACTGTGAGCTACCGTAAAACTTTCGAATTCTCAAATTTTGAATACCTCTAAATATTGTGTGACATCCAGAACTAACGAAATTTCGATTTGAATTGGAAAAGGCTTTTGTTTGGCAAAGATTCGGGGCTCCAAAGCTATCTCTAGAGCCGAAACTTTTAAAAAGGCAATCTTAAGGATTTGAGTAGCTCAAAAGCTAGCATGACATCCAGAACTAACGAAATTTCGATTTGATTTGGAAAAAGATTTCGTTTGGCAAAGATTCGGGGCTTCATAGCTTCAGGCTCGCAACCCAAACTTTTAAAAACCCAATCTCAAAAATCTGAATAGCTCAAAATATTGTGTGACATCCAGAACTAACGAAATTTCGATTGTACTGTAAGCTTTGTTATTGTACTTGTGGGAAATGTGTTGGAAAGGCAGTTTCCAGTGATTTCATCAAATATCATCTCGGGCCAATGTTGCAAGAGAACGATTTCACAAAGAATATCTCGCTGTTGATCGGCGATGAGAATCGATACGCTTTTCCCGATTTCGCGGATACGGTTCGTGAGGAAAAAGGGTACTGGCTGGCCTAGCTCTGGCTGGCCTAGTTCTGGCTGATCTAGTTCTGGTTGCCCTAGCTCTGCTGGCCTAGCTCTGGCTGGCCTGGCTCTGGCTGGCCTAGCTCTGGCTAACCTAGCTCTGGCTGGCCTAGCTCTTGCTGGCCTAGCTCTACTGACCTAGCTCTGGCTGGCCTAGCTCTGCTGGCCTAGCTCTGGCCTAGCTCTGGCTGGCCTAATACTGGTCGGGTTCAGTCTCTCTGACGCTCTGACTGGCTCTTATGACCTCAGCTAGGCCTGAGTGCCCCAAAAGCAGAGCCAGCTTTCCCCTTAACCCCAAATCTACCGTATCTTCAGATTCTCGGCGATCCGATGGCCGCCCCGTACGTGAGCGGTTTCGCATACCATTGGTACGCTGACGAGGGAATCCCGCCAGATGTCATCGATCAGACAATTCAGAAACATCCCGGTTACATCAATTTATACACTGAGGTACGGTAGTCGAGCCAAATCGAGACGATTAGTCTAGATTTGGCTTGGCTCAATGGCTTGGCTTGAGCTTGGCTCAATTTAACGAGTTGTGCCAGAGCTTTTCTAGCAATTTCTTGATTTTTGCCTAATCTGGAGCGCACACTGTGTTTTCTAGGCGTGCGCCGGCTGGCACGACTACGAGCTTTCGCCGGTGATGGGCGACTGGGGACGCGCCGATCTCTACGCGCACAATATTATTGAGGTGAGTTGAGTTTTCTTGGAGTGCATCGATTGCAATCGACTATCTGGAGGGCACAGAGTGGTCCAGCTATGTCCAGCTATGTTCTTGCTTGAACATTTCAAATTTGCAAATTTGCAGGACATGTCCCACGGGGTGCAGGGCTGGGTCGACTGGAATCTGGTGCTCGATTCACAGGTAAGCCGAAAATTTTGACAGAAATCTCCAAGCTGGAAGGCACAAGGCCGAAATAGCTAATTTGGAAGATGTTAAATGCTAATTTGGAGAAGGCGGTTTCTGTCGATAAGAGTTTGAGAGGATTTGAGCGCTTTGAAAAGCTCAAAAACGATTTTATTCCCGAAAAAGCTTCAATCTGGAGTACAGTAAGGCTTTTTAGAAAATAATATTCTCGATTTTTGCAGGGTGGCCCGAACTGGGTGCAGAATTTCGTCGATGCGCCGATCATCGCCAACTTTACCGCCGACGAGTTCATCAAACAACCGATGTTCTATATCTTGGCGCATTTCAGGTGGATTTTGAAAAGAAATTCAAGTTTAAACGAGATTCAGCAAATTCGTGCTGCCCGACTACACGCGGATCGGCTTCGTCTCACCGGATTTGAATCTGGAGGGTGGGTGGAGTTGAAGGGCCGACTTTTCTCGGCTCTCGTTCAAGATTTCAAAAAAAGCCAAAATGAAAGCTCTAAGCTGGAACGCAACTTAGAATTTCCTCAAAGGAAAAGCCGAGTTTTGAGAAATTTTCGAGATTCCAGTTTGTTCACAAAATTTCAACTCGATTTTTCTCGGCTCACGTCTAAGATTTCAAAAAAAGCCAAACCAAAAGTTCTAAGTTGGAAGGCAACTTAGAATTTCCTCAAAAGAAAACCCGAGTTTTGAGAATTTTCCGAAAGTCCAGTTTGTTCACAATGGAATTTCAACTCGATTTTTCTCGGCTCTCGTTCAAGATTTCAAAAAAACCCAAAACAAAAGTTCTAAGCTGGAAGGCAACTTAGAATTTCCTCAAAAGAAAAACTCGAGTTTCAAGAATTTGTCGAAGCCAAAAAGTCCAGGTTGATTACGGTAGCTAGAGCACTTTATACAAAGGGCTCTAGTCGATCGAAGCTTGGGTACTGTAGCTAAAATGTGCTTTTCCAGGCCTCGCCTTCCTTTCAACGGATCAAACGAAACGCGTGGTGATGTTGCATAATCAGGACTCGCAAAATGGGCATTCCTACACTTTACAAGACACGGGAAACACGCTACGATTCGCGAATTTGTACCTACCGCCTAGCTCATTCACTACGCTGATATACAATATGTAAATTCGTGCAAGAAGATAAATTATTGGGCTAGCAACACTTCTAAAGTTACTCAAGTACACGAAAGAGTACTGTAAACGTCTGTACTACAGCGTCAAAATTTCAAATCGATTTTCCTCTCGAGAATCAAGGTTTCCACGGGATGCTTGTGAAGGATCCATCAATCGTTTTTGGAGAGCATGTCTCTTATGTTGAACGTTCTGAAGCAAATGAGGCCAAGAGATGTCATCAAATTGTTGAAAGTGAATCAAGGATTCCGATCGATGATTGTGAAGCGACGATGGCTCGCCTTTGTACGAGATGTTCACGAGATTGGCGAGATTTAAAATGTTTATCAAATTTGTTCAAAATTTCTATCAATTTCGTGATCATTGCACACTTTTTTTAACACCATTTATTACAAAACCCAGACTGCGAATTTGAAGTGATTGGCTTGCGTTGGGAAAAGTGATGAAATTTCTTTGATCAGAGTAAAGAAATCTGCCAATCTACACGATTTTGGTGTAAAAATTCTTGAAAAATACAAAATTTAGCATTTTCTTGGTCAGAGAAAACGGTGAATGGTTGAAATTTTGGGAAAATCGGCAAAAATCGACAAAAATTGGGAGCAAAATGGTGACAGAAATCGAGAAAAATGATGGCTTTTGCTGGCGTTGCTCAATTTTTCATTGGTGCTCGTTGGTGTGCGGCTGAAATTTAAATTTTTAGTTAAGACAGCACTCAGTTTGACGACCTAGTGTTTTGTCAAGAAATTTTCCAATATTTCTCAAGTTACACAAGTACTAACCGCTCCGACGGTCCTCCTGGAATGCACAAGATTGAAAATGTAAATTGAATCAGCCCTTCTTGACCTATTTGTCTTATTCAATTTCATAAAACGTTATCGTCAAGGGGTTTTCGGTACTTTGCAAGTTATTCAAATTGTAGCCAATTCTAGGGCTCTCCTGGAATGCACGACATTGAAAAATGCTATCAAATCAATTGAAACGTTTATTCTTGAGCTCACGAAACTTCTCGAATGTTATGGTCAAGAAATTTTCGAATTTTCTCAATTCATTCGACTTTTTAACTTCTTCTAGGACTATCCTGGAATGCACAGCACTCAAAAATTTATTAAAATTTTCATTTCTAAGCTTTTAAACTTTTGGACTACTGTAGCTAGGGCACGAAACAGAAAAGACAGATTGAATGGACAGATTGGATAGGCAGACAGACAAACAGCTCGGCTATGAGTACGGTAATTTGTCGTCGTTTTCTTTTGTTAAATTGTGCCCCCAGTTGACTAGATTGGTAATTTGTTTGAAGTTTTCTGTATTTACCTAGCATTTCCCGCACGCTTTCGGGCAATAGTAGCGTTTCACGTCCTCGGTGTAGAAAGACGAAGTGCAGAAGCCATTTGCAATCCACGAGGAGCATCTACAATCATCAGTATAAGAAAAAATGCATTTATTCACACGAGTAATGCGGTACAAACAAAAAACAGGCAGCTCGAAGCCTTAAATCTATGGGAAATCCATATTTAGAAAAAACCAATAATTTATCTTTCAATTTAAACCTTAAAAACATCGTAATACTAAGAAAAAACATTTTTTAGTTTTCTGAGAAAAAAAGCGAAAATTTTGGTGCCAATGGGATCCGAACCCGCGAGGAAACACTGGGATAGGTTTTAGAGACGAGCACACTATCCCCTAGACCACCGCTGCTTTACAGACCGCTCGTTGCGGGGACCTCTTATAAGCGAAATAGCGGTTTTCTTGTCGAAAAACTACTGGAACTTGTTTTTCTGCTGCTTTCGCCATTTAGAACCTTCTTTTCCATAGTTATTGAACTCACTTTGCATCATCGGTGCACGAGGAACGCGTCGATCCAGTGCCCGCGGTGCCAGCTGAAAATTTAGGCTTTAAAAACGTTGTAAACGTGATGCTCAAGAAATTCTTGAATTTTCCAAAGTTACCCAAACTTAAAACTACTTCTAGGGCTATCCTGGAATGCACAGAACTCAAAAAAATAAATAAACCTAGATAAAAAACATCTAGATCTTTACGAGTTTTTTCGTGAAACGGACGGTCAAGAATTTTTCGAAATTTCTCAATGCACTCAACTTTGCAAACATTTCTAGGGTCGTTCTGGAATGCACAGCGCTCAAAAATTGAAAATATTTCTCAAAATTTTGAAATTAAATTTTTCGAAATTCAAAACCGACTCGTCGACGATGTGCAATATCCACAGGTCTTCTTGCAATTGATTTTGACGAAATCTTGTGTGTCCACGTTTCGACAAATCGACACATCGTTCGCGCATTCGATCGCCGCATCCACACAACCACCTGAAAGCCGTTTTTCCGCAAACCAAAGATGATCTTCAGCATCGTGAAAGCTATGGTCAAGGGATTTCAAAAAGTTCTCAAGTAGCCAACTTTTCTAAGCACTTCTGGGGCTATCCTGGAATGCACAGCACTCAATAAGTTAAATAAACCTTGGGTAAAAACGATCTAGGTCTTTAAAAGTTTTGGAAACGTGAAGGTCGTGAAATTCTCGAAATTTCTTAAGTAGCCAACTTTTCTAAGCACTTCTGTGGCTATTCTGGAATGCACAGCACTCAAAAAATAAATAAACCTCGATAAAAATGATCTAAGTCTTTACCAGTTTTTGCAAATGTGAAGGCCGTGAAATTATCGAAATTTCTCAAGTAATCAAACTTTGTAATCGTTTCTAGGCACATCCTGGAATGCACAGCGCTCAAAAATCGCAAAAATTTAGCAAAATACTCACTTCTAAACTTTAAGCATTTTGGGGTACTGTAGCTGAAGCACGAAATAGAAAGGCAGCTCCTATACGGCGAGTATTATAGTAATTACGGTATTAAACTTTAAAAATCAAAAGGCCACCTATTTCAAAGCTAAAAACTCATTTCGACGTCTACTCACCATCCAAACAGAAACCGCAAACGTTGGGGCAATCGTCGGCGAGGATTTCTCTCCATTTTGAGTCAGTGCACTGCTTTTGGGTAACCGTCTTGCAGTTGACACGAGGAACTAGAAAGCAGTTGAAAGTTTGGAGTAGACTCAGCAAAAAAAGACGAAAGTTTTTGGCTCGACCCGGGATCGAACCTGGGAGTGCCAGCGACCCCTGGAGTCCCAACGGCGCCACTAGGCACTGCGCCACGGAAAGACTATCCGAAAATCAAAATCTGATTTGCACAAGTTCTAGTGTGCGTTCCAACTAAAAAAAATAGTTAAAGGAGAAAAAATTTGAAAACACTCAAAAAGAGTTATTGTGTCGAGAACGTTCCGATGCGAAATTCTTCCAAATTCTTGTTCTAGAATTTTTTCGCTTTGATATTTTTTTCTTAGTTGGAACGCACACTAAAATCTAGGTGAAAGAGATTTTCGTTTACTGATGATTTACCGACTGTGGCCTCATGGCGCAGTGCCTAGTGTCGCCACTGGCAGTCCAGAGGGTTCGATGTCGAGCCGCGGGTTCGATCCCGGCTCGAGCATTTTGTAGCATTGGTCTTTTTTTTGCTAAAACATACACTCTTTATTCGTGCAAGTGAATGCCGGCGTGATACAACAATAGCCACAAGTTTTTGGACAAGTGGCAACCGCGCCATCACGCATTGCCGGATCGACAGCGGTACCGTCGGACGAGAAACACGTTGTTACTCTAGAAAAGAAAATATTAGCATTAAAGCTTTCTAAAGTCATCCTGGGATGCACGATATTGAAAAACATTGTTGGAATCGGTTTTTTTGGCTTTTTTGTCTGACTCGAATTTCGCAAAAGTGATGATCGAAAAACTTCCAAAATTTCTCAATCTACTCAACTTTTTAACCATTTCTAGGGCTGTTCTGAAAGGCACAAACGCTCAAAAACTCATTAAATACCTATTTTCGAGCTCTTGACACTTTGGGGATACTGTAGCTGGGGCACAAAATAGAATTCCTGACCGTGAATATGATCCAAAAGCCAAAAGCTAACAATTTTCCCACCTCTCATTCGCATTTCCGACAGCCGGCGCGGGATTCGATCCTATGGCATAGGTTTTTGTGCAAAAAGCCGACGCTTGCACATCGTCACAGTTGAAAGCAGAAGCGACCCACTGCAAATAGGATCATTCACCTGTCACGAGGCCCTGGGAAAGCAATCGAACTCAGTTACCGTATTCCTGACTAATCTGGAACGTACACTAGCGTCCCAATTGGGTAAATGATCACTAGGGCAAAATTGGGGAATGCAAAACCGAGACTCGTACAGTATCTCTGAGCTCTCGAGGTCCTGGGAAAGCAAATGACCCCCAATTACCATATTACTGGCCGATCTGGAACGCACACTAGCATCCGAACTGGTTAAATGATCACTAAGACAAAATTGGAGAATGCAAAACCGAGACTCGTAAAGTATCCCTGCGTTCCCGAGGCTCTGGGAAAGCAAACGGTCCCAGTTCCGTATTTTCTGGCTAATCTGGACCGCACACTAGCCATCCCAGCAATTCCCAACTCACATTCGTTCCATCCGTGCAATTGGTGTCCGTGATCGCAGCGCTGGCGAGTTTCGAGCCAAAAACAAAGAATAAAGCGAAAAGCATCATTTTTTCGTGGATCCTGGATGTCACCAGAAATCCCAAACACATTTTCTCCGATCTTTTATAGGCAAAAGTTTTTTATTGTCAAAAAGTTTCAAATCTCATCGAAGCAGTTGCGCAAATTTTGGCTCACTTTTGTTGAAACTTTTTTCTTTCTTTCGCATTTTGGCACGCATTGTCTCCCGGTAGCTTTGGTCAGATTTGCGGGAAAACGTCAAAATTCGGCGTCTTTTTCGGATGGGTGGTTGCGCAAATAGGGGAGTGCTAATTTTTTGGTGCAAACTTTTTTCCGCCGTTTACAAAACGCTTTGTTTACGCAGATTACAAAAGGCAAAAGGTAAAAAAAAAGAAAATCGTCGATTTTCTAAAATTAGCCGTTTTCTAAAGGATGCACCCGCAAAAAAAAGCTACCGTAATCTGAGTGGCTTTTTTTGAAAAATTTGAGATGGTAGCAAAAAGCTCCACGTTTTTGCGCCAAAATCCCTTACGCCAATTTCATTTGCGCCAAATTTACGCTTATGAAAATCACAATGACAAATCACTTTTTGCCATCAGAACCCAAAACTTCGTCATTTTTGTGTTCCTGATTGGGCTTTTTACTCTCTCTATATCGATCTTATGCCATTTTCAGATCCGGTGAAGGCGGCAAAATAGCGAGGGCATCTTCGAGGGCATCTTCAAGAGCACCTTTCGGATATTCACCGAAAGATATTCACAAATCGAGGCAATCAGCTCGTTTAAAAGGGATTCCATTTGAGAACCCTCATCCATTTTCGCAATTTTCCCTCCATTTTCTTCAACTCCGCATCGGCCTGCAAATTCTGTTTTTTACGAATTTCGAAATGTTTTAAAATTTGAATGCAATTCGGACTTCAAAGACAAATTTCAAATTTTTTGGAAAAAATCAAAACGCCGGGATCATGAAGATTGCGCCACGGTGTAAAAACGAAAATTACACCGATGGAATCGTCATTTACCAGCGCCTTCGCTTTGTGCGAGTCTGTGCCTCTCCTCTGTGCCTGCGAGCCTTGTAGCCCTTCAATTGGGCTACACGATAGTACAAAAAAACGTTTAGAAAAACTGTTGTTTAGTACAAGAAAAATGGCCACAAATCGAGAGCACCAACACTACACACCTATACAAAAGACCGTAGGTCGTTGTTAGTATTGCGATGTACAGTCGGCGGTACTCTCAGTTTGCGGCCATTTTTCTTGTACTAAACAACAGTTTTTCTAAACGCTTTTTTATACCATCGTGTAGCCCAATTGAAGGGCTACATTTTGACTACCAGACTCGCACAAAGCGAAGGCGCTGGCAAATGGCGATTCCATTCGGCGTAATTTTCGTTTTTACACACACAGTGGCGCAATCTTCATGGTCCCAAAATGTCATAAATTCTGAATACTGAATTTAGAAAACTTCGAAAAATCTTTTCATAAATCGTTTAAACTTCGAAGAAATTGGGAGAGGAAATAGAATTTTCAATTCATTTTCAAAATAGAATATATTTGGGATGAGATTCGGAGAGATTCTTAGAATATGATTACCAGTTAAAATGGTTGTTAGCTTAAGCAAACGCGTTCGGGCAATCATTAATTGAATAAACGGATAAATCGATGAGCGGATTTGGTTGCTTGGCGCCAATTCTACGCCATTGCAAATAGGAAAAAATTGGTGAAAAAATGTAAAGAATCTGTCAGTAAAAATAAAACACGAGAAAAGCAATCATTTACCGAAGCTATCTATTCTGCTATGAAAGTATAGGAAAACCGCCAAAAAGGGGGTGTTTTCAAGCAAACTTTTTACTTTTACTTTAAACCATTACCGTAATACCTGTAATAGTAGCGCCCCGCGTACCGTCGCGTAGTCTAACTTCTTTTTAGGAAATCACAAAACATTTTTTTCTCAGCCCCTAGATTTTTCTCAACTACACTTTTGGTACCAAAAAATACCAAATTTCAAGGGCAGATCATTTGACACTCAAGCGCACACTGTAGCATAAAGCAGGGCGGAGAACGGAGCGTGTAAAGTTAGACTACGCGATAATACCCCATCATTATGCGGAGGGGCGCCACTATTACAGGCATTAGGGTATTAGAGGTTGATTTATAATCCACAAAAGCTTATATCCTCAAAAAAAAGCTATAAGGCAGCGCTTTATAACTTCAAACCTCTGTAAAATGTAAACTAATAATATTTCTCGTTCGATCATAACAAAAAAATCTTGTAGATGTCTCTAAAATGATAAACTTTATTTTACAATCGCTAAAATTATCGCTTCTGAACAGAATAAACTACAGATTACACAAGGAAATAAGAAAAATGGAGAAGAATATCACATATACACATGAATCTCTCATGTGTAATGGGGTAGAAAAAGTCAAGGAATTTTCTCTGGAGACTTTCAAAATATTTAGTGAGACAAAAAAAACACGGCTATCACAAGCTATAAGTCTTCTTGGAATGTTCAGGAAAAGAGAAGAACTTTGCGAGTACACAAAACGGAAGAAAAATGACCTAGAAACTATTCAAACTAGTGGCTCAAAACTGGTGTGTTTTGACAAAAGATTTTAAACGAAAACGGGCATGTTGTGACCCGGTTACAACAAAAGAAAAACTCATCGAATAATATAAAATTTCCACAATTCGCATTTAGTCCTCGAGGTTTCGGAAGGCGGCTTGCATTGCCTCCAACAGATCATCGTAGTCTTTTCGGATTTTCGCCTCACCGTCCTTCACGGGGTCCTGAAATGAGAAAATGATTGTCTAGAGCAGTGCGATCAGTACAAAATCTAAAAATTGATCAAACTTTTCAAACTAATTAGCAACTTGGCAACTCTTTGAAACTATGGAACTTTCACGGGGTCCTGAAATGAGAAAATGAGTGTTTAAGAGCAATTATAAGTGCAGAATTCGAATCGTAATCAAGTTTAAGCTGAAAGCTTTGAAAATCTTAATTAGCTAACGATTTGAAACTGTCGAACCCGTCAAATTTACACCAAACTTTCAGTCTGTAAGTTTAGTATAAATTAGGCCAGCAGGTAACCAGATGAGTCACGATTTTAATCGACGAACTTGATATTTAAAGCCTTAATGCCAAATTCACGATCAATTTGCCGATTTCCCATTAGACAGGTATGCTATTAAAACCTTAATTGAAAGATTTAAAGTCTTAGAGTTTCAGAAGGATGTATAGAAGTTCAAACACTCCAAAAACAAACCTTGAATTTCATGGACGACAATTGATGGAGCAAATCTCCCATGTGATCCCTGATGATCGCCCAGGTGACTTTGTTCTCCGATTGGGCTGTCGTTTCCACTGAGTGACGCGCAAGGTCATAGAATGAAATCCTGAAAAGAGAAGTGGTAAGTCGGTATGAAAACAAAGCAAATTTTAAGCTTTCGATTCTTAAAGCCATAGTTTACAACGCTTAAAACTTCACAAATCACTCACATGTTCTTCAGCATGCCGACAGTCTTGTAGAATGGGCAAAAACGATCGTAGGGTGTGTATCCGTTTTGCTGCAAGAAGTCGTCCTTGATGATCTTGGCCACCTGAAAGAAAAAAATGAATCAAGATTGATCCAAACGAATCTAACAGACTAATTTCTAGGCTTTTACTTTATTGCACTTATTCTCCTGGAAGGCTTTTGAATCAAGTTCAGTAAAAGTTTACTTTAAAGCGTTGGAAAGGGAGATACGTGAGTTTAAAGCAATCTATTAAACCGTTCCTACAAAAGTTGAAACAATAAAACGCCAATGTTTAAGTTTTCAAATTAAGCTGATAGATTAAAGCTTTTACCTCAAGAGTGATCTTGTCCGATTCGGCGAGCGAGGCTTTTCCGACGAGTTGCACGATTTCCGAAAGATCCTCTTCTTCCTGTAAATAGGTGAATCAATAAAGTTGTTAAATTGCAGTTAAAATCTAACAAATTCTCAGTCTTTAATAACTCTTTTATCATAAAAAGCGATACCTGGAGAATTTCTTTGCATTTGGTGCGGAGAGCGACAAATTCAGGATGGTTCTTCTCGTAGAAATCCTCAAGGGCACGCATGTACTTACTAAAATTGAAAATTTAGCCATTTCTTCGCTTAGTCTCACGAAAAGATTTAGCCTTCGAAATCATTGCTTTGACGCTTTACGCTAAAAATTTACCGATAAGACATCAAAGACATTGTTTTATTCAATCACTTTCTCAGATTCACTGTAAATCACATTTTAACTTGTCCATGTCAATTTCTGAAAAGTTGGGCCTACCTTTGGTCATCAAAACAATCAATATTCCCCTCTACGTTCATTAATTTTGTGCAAATCCTTTCAATTACGCGTTTCACTCGCTAATCCGCTAATTATTCCCCTGTTTACACATACGCAAGAGCAAAAGATCTTGGATGCTGAACTTGCGAAAGTTCATGAGGATTTCCCGAAATGTTTCTGTTAGAGATTAATCAAAGGCTTCTTGTTATTCACCGTCACATTGTTCTCGCGTAGCTGAAAAGGGTCCAAAGGGGTCCTCGAAAGTCGGGAAAAAGAAAGGAACAACGAAAGGGGAAGAATAGGCGGGACTTTTCAGGAAAAGGAGGGAACAAGGTAGAAAGGGTCGTCAAGGTAACTTCCGTTGTTGAAATATAACGTGAAACTTCAGCGTTACTTCTAGCTGCTGCGGGAGACAAATTTGTGGGAATTCCCGTCGGGGATTCCGAAATCCTACAGCAGTCGCCCCTCCTCACCGTCTCAGCCTCCCTTTTTCTCTAAATCCAGACCAAAGACGGGCTGGACCGGCTCATTTGTAAGCGAAAGAGGGGGCCCCAGCCGACCGCCATTCCAACAGTCACACGAGCCGCCCCCGAGTGCACCTACGTCCCTACCACACCAATTGATAACGATATCGGTGAGTTAAAGATTTTAGACCTTAACTGATTGGGTTTTTAAAGTCTAAAACAGCTAAGATTGAATCCTGTAATGACGAGATTTTACCTTAAAGATACAAAATACAAATTCAGGCTCAGAGACTTAAAATCACAAATCAACTATCTTTAGGTGAGAACAAATTCTTCTCGTACGATTCGACCGTCCCCTGGAGACCGTTAAACGAGCATTGCGCCGACTCAACCTCGTATTTCCTCCGCAAATACAATCTCTACCCATTTGTCACCGAGACGCCAAATCAGATGGACCATTTAGCGCCCGGTGACCCAATGCAAAACTCGCGGTCGGCGAGTGGTGTGCCGGCAAGTGCAAGTGAGCCTTGACTATGACGCTAAAGGGTGAACTGGTTGTAAAACTGCTAGGCTAGTCGAGCATCAAGTACAAATCCTCTCAAAAACTGTGCTAGATCCCTTTTGAGCCTCTGAAAAAGAGAAAGAGAAAGAGCTAGTTAAAAAAAGCTAAACGATCAAAAGCCTGAGATCAAAAACCATGCTAAAACCGGATTTTTAAGTTCACAAGTGCAAATTCAACAAACTGCTTAAACAAATTTAGTTCTTATCAGGTTTCCAAAAAACACAACTGAATATTTCCATCCTAGGCGGTCGTCATCCTCTGCAAACGGTCAATTCAACGTGTTTTGTGCCAGCCAAATCAACTGGTATCGTCTCGTTATGCGTTCAATTCGTAATTCTCGTCCTCTCCGCGCTCACCACAATCTTTTTCTTCTACCACGTCGGCGGCTACGAGTATATGGGATGGAATGAGAACGGCACGATGCTCGTCTCTCCAATAAACTCCTCAAATCTCCCGCCAAAGTTCTACGATAGCTTGGTGGGTTTGTTTATGTTCTAATATTGAACTTTGAAAATTCATTTTCTTGAGAAAAGCTGTCCATTAAGTCAATTTTGCCTTCCATGACCAAACAGCTGTTAGCGGCTAATTTCCCAATCAAATTCCGCAAAACAAAATCCAATTTCCCGATAAAATTCCATCAAAAAAATAGGTAGAAACGCGGTTGCCGTGGGAACGCAAAAGAAATGTGGCAAAGAGTTGAGTGTTATTGTCCTGACAACCCCTGGGAATTCCGAGGGAAACAGGCAAAAGAATATAAAACTCAATTTTCAGTTGCTAAACGAGAAGGCAAATCAAACGGAGAGTGAAGAAGTGGAGAGTTTATTGAGAGGAAGCAATGTGACAGAGGAAAACGACAATAACAACAATTCGACGATGCTCGGCTACAATGAGGACGAGTCGATGGTGTCTAGGAGGGCAAAAAGAGATGCCAAAAGAGAGGCAACAAGCGCAATGCCGTTGCTCGACTACGAAGATAACTCAACGCTTTCGTACGACGACAAGAATGAGCAACTACCGAACACCTCGATGTACATTGGATGGATTGTGGTGAGTGGAAGGGTAAAAAGATGAAAAAGGCTGAATTGCCTAGATTGAAGCATTGAAATTGACTCATTTTAGCACAAAACATGAATTTTAAGCATTCAAAAGAGTCAAACCGACAAAACTGCCATGTTTGGGTCTAAATTCCCAGATTTTTGATATCCAATACTTATTGGGAGTTAAGAATGGATAAATTCCATCATTTCTAGAAGGAAAACCACAAAGTATTGATTGATTCATAGCCTGAAATCCTTAAAGTCCTCTAAACCAAAATTCCCAGTTGGATCTCTGATCTAAAATTTCTAGAATTTCACAAGTAAATTCTCGATCTCATTCAGAACGCCGAAATCGATTTCCTGGAATTGATTCGAATATCCACTCTCGTCTACCTAGCCCTATGTGCCGTTTGGTTTCTCTCATTGCTGTGCCTCGTCGTTGCAATCAAAACGGAAAGTAAGCTCTCAAGCCAGTGAAATTTGGACTAACTTTAACATGACCAAGCAAAACCCTGAATTCAGTACCCGATCTGGTCGTCGCCAACATGACAATTTGTCTCATCTCTATTCTGTATCTTATCGTGCACACGCTTTTCATCGGCATCATCATCTACCTACAAGTAAATAGCAAAAGCCTGACCAAAAATGGAAAGTTTTCAGATAACTCTCAGCCGTCACCTTTCCACGAAAACTTTCATCATAATCATCAGCACAATGGGCGGCCTCTTTTTGCTCTCAATTGTCGGCTTCTTTTGCATAATTCTCGATGTCGGTTTCTACAATCACATCTGCTACATGAACGATTCGTCTGGGGTGAGTGAAGAAGGGAATCTTATAGAGAAACATATTTTGGTAGGGATAAAAACCTGCAGAACTTGTGTTCAACTACGTCCCAGGCTTGAAAACCAGGCCAAGAAAGGCAAGGCAAGGCTAGAGGCCGCCCAGAAGAGACCATAAACCAGGCAAAAGTCTAGCATCTGGTATAGGCTTGTGATAAAAGCAATGGAATAGATCGTATGCATTCAAAATTTCCCTCAGCCTTACTTGTTAACTTTTAAAACACCAATTGTAGCCATTAATCATAGACAAATTCTTTTAGCTTTTAGCCAAACTTAACACCCAATTTCCTTTTCAGTGCATCTGCCTCTCCGTCATTGTCAACTTTATCAAGGGCTCTCGTCGCAATCGTCGCGGTCCACACGAGTACGCTCTTCCCGAGAACACCCGCTCGCCTCCACACAGCAATATGCCCTACGCCGATGATCCCACGCCATCCGGTCAACAATTTAGTCATTTCTAGTCGCTTTGTGCTTTTGTCTAGAAGCTCAATCAATTTGATCAAATACACACATATCATCCGGTGATCTCTCTTCTGTCAAACAATCTCCCCTTTCATTGTAACAAGTGGCTTACTTAAAATCGTTTCTGTCAAAGCAATCAACTTCTCCAGTCAAAATCATTTTCTTTGAATAAACCTTGTATTTGATTTCATCAAAAACAAGCAAACGCACCTGTATGAGATGAGCCAGTTGATCGATGGGAAATGCTTGCGTTGAGCGAGTTTCTTGTCGAGACCCCAGAACACCTAAAAACTGATGTTTCTTGGCTTTTTGTTCAATTACTAAACACTTGAGTGCTCTGCTTTTTAATCTTTCAAACTTTAAACAAACACACCTGTACAATACCAAGAGTGGCAGCCGTGACGGGATCGGCGAAATCTCCACCAGGAGGCGATACGCTGAAATTTGAGATTTTAAAATGCTCACAGTAAAGAAACCTTAACAACTAACTTATTAGAACTTTTATAGATTATTCAAAGCTTAAAAAACTTTAACAACTTTATTCTAAACCCTTGCTCAAAAACTTACGCTCCGACAATGGTGACCGATCCTTCGCGTTCCGGATCTAAATTTAAATTTCATGCCTCTATACCGGTGACAAGACAAGAAAAAATAGAGTAAACCAAAACTTACTTCCTAAGCATCGCACTTTTCCGGCACGTTCGTAGAAAGAGGCGAGACGAGCGGCAAGGTAGGCTGGGTAACCCGAATCGGCCGGCATTTCTCCAAGACGTCCTAAACTTTGAATTGAATGGAGAGACGCCCAAGGCGACGCTATTCACCTAAACGAATCAAAGCATTACCTGAAATCTCACGAAGAGCTTCGGCCCATCGGGATGTCGAATCGGCCATCATAGCCACGTTGAGACCCATGTCACTAAAATTGAATGAGTTAATATTGTTTTAACAGAGTTTTCAACTTTCAAAACTGTTATTTAATTATGTACACGCTATTCTCGACCTCAAAAGTTACAAAAGTCTTAATATTCCTGAATCGCCTATAGCTGATATCCGTTTCCTATAAACCAACCGGAAATATTCAGCGAGGGTGATTCCAGTGTAGATCGAAGCTTCACGAGCGGCCACAGGCATGTTCGATGTGTTCGCGACAAGGGCCGTACGTTTCATGATCGATGTGGTGATTCCTTCGACCTCCATCGTCAACTCCGGGAAATCTCGCAATACCTAAAATGGAGAAATTTTATCGCCTGAAAAGTTTTCAAACTTTAAAACTCAAATACTCGTTTTTTCGCTCACTACTTAACAGCTAAAGCTAAGTTCATTTTAGGGTTTACATTTCTCAAACTTTCAACTAAATCGTTCTCAACTTTTATGAATCTCCCTTCATATTCACTGCATTTCACGAGAACAAAAGATTGTTCTGGGTTCGCTTCAGAAGGGAAAAGGGGGAACTGTGATAGGAATGGGGAATTGGAGGTGAACAAGATAAATCCTCAGTGTGGATGGGAAAAAAGGGGGACAATTCCTTATCTCAAACCTGAGCTGGCGGACGTAAAATCTATTAGTTTTAAATGGAATCTTCGAATTCGTTTACATGTAGCAGTAAAGCTTGACTCAAAGTATCGGATTCTCTCATAATAATTTGTCTTGAATGTTCGTTTGAATGCTTATTGTTGTGAGACCTGTTCCAAGACCTTGCTAGATTCATTGTTAAGGAGACAAGCTACAATCAATCAAGTGCCCAAGTGCCGCATCTTACTGCCCACAAACTCACTTCAGACATTTCGTTTCCACGCTCTCCGCATCCGACGTAAATGATCGCATCCGAGTTTGAGTATTTCGAGAGCGACTGCGAGATCACAGTCTTTCCACAACCGAACGCTCCGGGGATGGCCGTGGTTCCTCCTGAAATCAAATAGTAAAGAACTATCATTTCGGTTATTGACAAAGGTACAATGAAAGCCAAATTAGCGCCAATTTAGCTCGTAACTTCCTTTAAAAATCTTCCTCACCTTGCACACATGGGAAAAGAGCGTCCAATACACGTTGACCGCAAAGAAGTGGATTGTTCGCCGCCAATTTCTCGCTCACCGGTCTCGGGTTACGCACAGGCCAGATCTAGAAAGAATATCATAAAGGTTAACTTTAAAATATTTAAAGCTTTAAGTTAGCTTTAAAAGTTAACTAGTTAGCTCGATGGCTCTATATTGCCTTTAAGAAGCATTCAAAACACTTGCAAGACACAATTTTAAATAACAGGATGTTTGTTATCTGCAATACAATACTTGAAAATAGAAAAAAAAACAATACTTGAAGCATAGAGAATTGTTTTTTATCACCGGAGAATTCGACCTCGAGGAGAACATCCTGAAATTAATCAATTGGTACGAAAATTTGTTGATATGCTAGACTTTAAAAAACTCACCGTAACAGTGTATTGTCCCGACGGAGCGGCAAAAGTGACCGTTCCGCAAGCATTCGGCGGCAACAGGATCTTATGCTTGATGAGGAGATTCTCATTCACTGTGCCGATGATGTCACCTGAAAGAAAAAGAATGAATAGACGCTAAATTTTATGATGTTCAGTAAGTCCGTGCTTTTTAAACAAAGGCATTAACTAGGCTGCTAGCTGTTTGAAATAGTAGTAAGCTCAATTCTAACTTTGCAAGCTTAACAGGATCTAATATTCTTTGATTTATCATCTACAAGCCATCAAGTCAATCCAATCGAATTTAGCAATCAGACTGTTGCTGTTTTAAACTTCAATCTTTCCAAATCAATCTTCTACTGTACTTGAAAAGCCAATACCCTGAAATCCTTTGATTAAACGAACCTCCGGTAACGTGAGCTCCAACACGCATGTTCTTGTTCACCTCGAAGTCCCAACGAGCATCACGCGAGAGCGCATTTGTGTTGACTCCCTGGAAACGTTAAAATTAGCTCCGTTAGCAAGTTAACGCAATGTTTAAGTGGCGATCAATTTTCGATCGCCTCACCTTTGGAATGTAGATTGATTGCGTGAGATCGGCGATGTCCTTGAGTGGCCGTTGAATTCCGTCGAAAATCGATCCCATAATGCCAGGGCCAAGCTCAATGGAAAGCGGCTTTCCCGTTCGCAGCACTGGATCTCCAATCGTCACAGCGGCTAAATGAAACGATGCTCTTGAGGTTTCCAATATTCAAACTTACAAGTTTCCTCGTATACTTGAATGGTGGCGAAGTCTCCCTCCAAACGGATGATCTCTCCGACCAATTCGCCGTGTCCGACACGCACCAGCTCGTACATCGCAGACCCGGCCATTTTCTCAGCTGTCACGACTAAAAAGAGAAAATTATACAAGTTGTTGGGCTTGGGAAAGTTGGGAGTCTTTAGTTTTATTTAAACATCCTAAACTATCATATTTTATCTAAACAATGTTTTTAAAATGTTTTAAAAGCAATGTTTTTAAAACCAAAATTAGAGCTTTAGAGGTTTTTCAACTTTACGAGACTATGCATGAATTGCATATGATCATCAAGCTTCAAGCTGAATTGCATAGGGCCTAATATTAATCTTCACAAAACTTCTCAAATCGCAGGTCATTCTAAACATTATTCTTACTATTCTATTGAACTCTCCGGTGTTTTGTTTATTTGTATTCGAAATTATAGACTTCTTGTAGTATTTCAGTTAAAAAAACATCCTGCCATTTAAAATTGCGTCTTTCAAATGTTTTGAATGCTTCTGAAAGTCAATATAGAGCCAACCCGAGTTAATCAGTTAACATAAAGCTTTAAACACTTTTAACTTAGCCTTGCTACAGCTAGTCAAAAGATTTCTTTTACTTGACTATTTTCAAAAACCCTCACCAGGTCCGGAGACTCCATACACGAATCCGTACGTGGACTCCTTCTCTCCGTGATCACGAGTAGTTGGCGCCATCTTTGCGGGGACAAGTTGCGAGGAGCGAGAACTACCTGGAAAACGTTAACTATTTATGGAGTAAGTGGTAAATTTTGAAAACAACACAACAAAGAAACAAAACAAAACAAAACAACAGAACCAAATAACAAATTTAACAATAGAAATGATAGACTAGAGATCAGAAAGTGGTAAAGGTAAAGCAATAGGAGAAAATGCTCAATAATGAGAAGTAACAAGTGTACACGTTAACCCTCTTAACTGGATATCTTTCATTGCGGGCAAACTGAACAGTTACGCAGCTAATTACTAAAGAAACGAGCTTCGTAAGCTGACTTTTTTTAGATCAGCCGAATATCTTTAAATTTGTGGACAAACTGGGGCAGCTACGCAGCATTTACCAAAAGACCAGTCTTCATAGCCTCCCATTTGCTTCAACTGCTTGAAAAACTCATAAAAAGGGGCAACTACGGAGTCAATCGCTTCTAATTTTCCCACAAATCGTTAAAATACAGTTAAGCCAAGTACAACGTGTACAATAACAAGTAACAATAAGAAATAGGCACCTCTGAGTATAATGAAACAGATAACAATCTAGAAAACGTATTGAAAGGTTTAGAGTCCCTTCTTTTCCTCGTAGAAATACCCCTGCTCACTGTAGCAGTATTCTTTTCGGTGCCAATCGTTTTGCCAGCGGCGTTGCGGTGTTTGGCGTTGTTGTTGCCCGTAATGCCCGTGCTGATTTAAGTGTCGAGGTTGATTTGCTTGATTTCTTGACCTTTTCAGATTCTGTTTCTCTCGATAGTATTGTTTCTCCTTTTCATCATCGGAGAAATCGGGGCACTCCTCTTCGCCCATTTCCACATGGTCCGTGATCCGCATCGCTTGCAACTCTTCCAACATGATCATTTTCGTGATCCCTTTGTTGTTGGGCGCATAGTAGATCGTTTTGCCAACTTGTTCATGCGCTTCGGCAGCCGAATTGAATCTCACCAGATAGATCGGCTCACGGACACTACCCAAAATGTCGTAAACCACTCCGAAAACTTTCCTCTGCTCATCAAAGAGCACTGTGTCAAAGTCCAAGATGGCAAATGTGTCGCAGGGAATTTTCAGCAGACAATCCACGCTTTGTGAAGCCTTTCCCAAGACTTCTAGCTGAGCATTCGCCTCCAAGTGAATCCTCGGCACATCGATTGGATCCATTTTATCGTACTCGTGCTCGATCTTCACTCCACCGCCCTTGCCCTTCTTTTTCTTCTTCGTTTTGTCGTCGGAATACTCGCGGAAGTGCAACTTTTGCAATTGTTGCATGGGGATCGAGGTGATCTTCTCGAATTCATCATCACTGTCTATGGCGTTGCTGATGGAGGTTTTGAAGAGATCGCGATCCGAATCATAGTCCGACTCGGTGTCACTCTCGCGATAATCGACCACCGCCTCTTGGTTCACCTTAAAATAGTTGATTATTCAATGCAACACACTATTTTATGGATAAGGACTATGTTTTATTCTAGGTTTAGTACTTCTGAAGTGTACTTTTAAACTTCTCGTTTAACCGAGCGTTATTAGTATGCTTAAAAAATTATACTCGTTTACCAACTTGATAAAAACTGATACTCGTACAGATAGATATTGATCTATTGATCTAAAAGATATAGATCTATTGATACTCGTTTATCAATAGACCTATATCTTTTAGACTTACAATTTTCGCAACTTTCACTAACGTTTGAAGTGAAAAAGTCTTGCAAATTCGATACAATTTTCTATTTTAGAATGACGTTTTACGGGAAGTTTTCAAAGTCACGTACGGCCAGAGATCAAACGTGGAAAATCGGTTCAATGATTAGATTAAACTCCAGACTGACAGGAAAAGTTAGCAAGTGAACTTGGTAAACGAGTGTCAACTTTGACGCTTTACGCAACTGGAAACGGTAAAGTTACTGCTAACGCTTGATAAACGAAAAGCTTAATAACGGTAAGGTAAGAAGAAGTTGATAGATACTTTTATCAGTATCTTTCAACTTCTTATCATCATGTTCTCAACGAGTACTCGTTTAGCCAACGAAGCCTAGAAACAATAACTAATACAAACCGCAAAAAAAACCTTACCATCACATCAACATCCTCGATCGGGTAAGTCGATTCGCCAACATTTCCGCCATCACTGCACCCGGCTCGTGACTCGATTTTGATCTGTTCGACGCACACTTTCCACAGCAACTCATCGAGCACCTCCCGGATCTCTTGTGCCATCATCTGAAAGAAAAACATTAAAGAAAATTATAGAGAAAAAGAAAACCAAAAGAAAAACATTAAAACCATAGAGTTGCTCATAAGAAAAAACGAAAATGAGTCAAATGACAGGACATGAAAACTTAAAACTTAGCTGTTTTAGCCTTAAAAGTTTAAAGCTTGCTTGAAAACATAAGAGTTTGATGAAATTTAAAATTCCTTAAGTCAACAGCGAAGTTTCAATGGAAAAAACTACTTTTGGGAAGTTTTAGGCCACAGATATTACGCTGAAAAGGTATAATTTCTTAGATTTATATTAAAAGGCAAGAATTTTGACATAAAAGATCAATTTGGAGATAAAAGTTACAAGCTTTTCAAAGAACCTCAAAAAAAAAACCTTAGCAAAACGAGATTTCGTGCTTTTTGGTTTTCCCCATTTCCTCCAGTAGTCCTGCATTCAACCGAAGACCAATGACCGTGAAGGGGAAAGAAGGAAAAGAGAGCGAATCGCGGCGGGACCTTTATTCTCTCGTCTCACGATCAACTTGGGGGGAAAGAGTGCGAGAAAGGGGGGACTTGGCGATGAAAATCAAGCAATTGTGCTAGATTTTACAGCTTATTGTTTCGCAAAAGTTTCTACAACCAAGTAAATGTAAGAATCAACCGATTTGGTGGGGAAAATGGCGAAATTGTGATAAATTTCAAAAGTTCCGTCAAATTTGACACAAAATCAAGGCATTTGGGTGTTTACTTGATCAAATTGGCTCAAAACGCCGGAATTGTGGTCAATTTTATGACCTGTCGCTGAAAAAAATGCATATTTAGATGTTAGCTTAATCAACTTAGAGGTAAAAATGTGGAGTTGTGATAATTTGAAGGTTTTCAAATAAAAGCATTTAAGATCAGAATTCAGAATTGACTCAGAATTGACATGGTGATTGCAACCGAATTCACAGTCAAATCTATTCGAACGGCAGCTAGATTTTCCAGAAAACCATGAAAATCAATTTGGCAAAGGATTTTGGGTGCCGTATTTATTCTAATCAAAGCGCAGCCTCCAATAGATCTGTTTTGAGTGACAAAGGCTACCGCCCGTCATGCTTCGTCGTCAAAAATGTATCAACAACGAAATCATTAAGATCTCCTGTATAAAATGTGTAAAATAAAATTTAAAATGTAAATGCAATGCACGCTGGACCGGGAAGAAACGCAGTAAAAACCTATCTGTGGCCTAAAACTTGTCAAAAGTAGTGTTTTCCATTGAAACTTTGCTGTTTACTTAAGGAATTTTAACCGTTTCATCAAAAGCTTATGTTTTCAAGTTTTGTTCTTATGTTTTGACTTTTAATGGAAAATGGATGGATTGGATGAAAAATAGCATTAAGCCTCAAAACTCCATCATTTCCGATTGAATGTAGAAGGCGAAAAGCCGCCTTTTCTATATCCATTGGCAAACGAGGATTTCGCCGGTTAGCTGAGTATCTTCAGCAAAAAATATCCAGTTAATAATTTTGTACTTAAAGACAAAACTTTCGCTAAATTTTAGACACACATTCGGGAGTGGGACAAATGCGACCTTTTTTTTGCGCACCCGGACATTTGCGCACCTTTTTTTCCGCACCTTGCCCATTAGCGCACCTTTTTTTCGCGTTTTAAAAAAGCTCTAAAAAGCTAATATTAACCAATTTCTATTCCAAAAGTTGTTTTTCTAGGTAATTTTAGGCCGTAGGATCGAAATTTTGACATATCAGAGCGTGTGGAACCAATTTGAAAGACAAAACGGCTAGGTCAAATTACAGAAAATTGTTGATTTTTCTCTTTGTATAACTCCGTCCGTTTGCTTTCACAAGCTCTGATATGTCAAAATTTCGATTCTACACCCTTAAATTAGCTAGAAAAACAACTTTTGGAATAGCAATTGGTTAATATTAGCTTTTTAGAGCTTTTTTAAAACGCGAAAAAAAGGTGCGCTAATGGGCAAGGTGCACAAATGTCCGGGTGCGCAAAAAAAAGATCGCATTTGTCCCACTCCCCACTCATTCATTTTACAGGCCCTTCCCTGGCAGGCAACTATTTTATTTTAACTTTTCTTCTCTCTTTGCTATTTAAAACCACTTATCAACCTGTATATAAGATTTTTTTTCAGAGATGGTGCTGCAGGAACCTCCGATTCGAGTACAACTTGAGCTCAACCACGACACGCCGGCCACTTCACTCCACTCCACTCCACGATCGCCGACCTCTCCTCGCTCAAATTAGCCGAACCGCCGAATCGCAGAAGTTTTTGAGTTTGTTTTTGGCTTTTGATCTAAATGCTTTTGCTTTTGCGAAAGCTTTCTAGTGTCCCCTGTAGGTATTTTGTTGCCTTCTCTATGGCCATGTAATTTTCACAACCGCTTTCTAAAATCAAAGAATACTTATTACTTGTTCTGTACTTGCTCAGAAAAGGGCAGTAGAAATCAATCTTTTTGGACAAAGATTAACAAATTTCAAACTGTAACCTTACCCTTTCGAATCAAAATAAAATGTGTGACACTTTATACACTTTATAAAATGCGTGACACTTTTTTCAACTTCTTTTCCTTTTACTTTCTAGGTGATTGGCAATGCCAAAGTTGAAGTGAAAAAAGAATGGTTTGAGATGGAAGAGAAATAAATAGCGATGAGAGAAAGATGGTTCAAGTTGTGAGAACCTCATTGCTTCGACCACTTATTTGTCAAGCTGCAAAGATAGGTTTTATCGAATTTTGGTACTTTTCAATCTATATCTTCAATTCTTTTCTTTAGGAAGGAAGTGATGGGCTCGACGAGTTGCTATGTGAAATGTGCATCAAATGGATCAAAATCGGACCGCGGGCCGGGTGTGGTGATGGGCAAAGCGCTGACTTTTCGATCACACAACTCGATTGGACTTCGTGAACTCAAGTCGATTGGATGAACTCCGTCGCAGATTTCAATTTTGAATTTAAAACCCCTATTTTGGATCTAGATTTGATGAGTTGCACGTTTTTATGTGATCCTTTTGTGGAAGAATTTCTGTTTTACAGGACTTTTATGAACGTATTGCCAGCTTATTAAAACCTGTTCCGTTTTTTCTGGGGCGTCGATGTGATTACGAGTGTTTTACGGTATTTGTTTACGTTTTTAATGTTTACTTGTTAATTTTCTAATAATAAAGTTACTGCTTAAGGTGTTTTCGAGCAGTGATTTGGTTCAAGGACCATATTATTTTTGATTTATGACAAATTTTTGTGGAATGCTAAGCTTTATTGGAGAAGTATTGCTTATTATTTACATTTTCCCTAGGCAAATCTCTAATTGCTCAGATTTTTATGAAATTAGACAAGTTGTTGGCTTAAAAAGGTTATGAAAAGCCCAATTTGACCCCAAGAACATTAGAAAACCATTTTGTCACCAAAAATTCATTGGTTTTTGTGCTTTCTCTTTCATTTTCCGACAAGAACGAATTGTTTTCTTTTACAGGTGAAAGAATCGCGCTCGAGATGCCATTTGAAATGAGGAATCTGACGTCGTTTCCGATGGAGAAGCTCTGTTACGATCTGAAGTTGGAAGTGCTGGAGCAGACGAACCCGAAAGATACGATCGAGTTGGCCAAAGTGAATGCGGGATTTCAATGGATGCTTTCACGGAATCCGTTTCTCGTTTGTGACCACCACGTGGACACGATTCGCTTGAACGACGGGAAGATTTGGCTCAAGAAGTTTCCGGACGCGCCCGGAGCGACGCTTAATCTCGTGCGCCACTTTCCACTCATCAAAGCCATCAATTCATGCGATTATTTGACGATTGAAATGAGAGAGGAACCTTTCACTGATCGGCACGCCAAATTCCTCAATCATTTGAAATCCGTGAACCGTTTATTGCTTTTCCTGGATGAAGGCGACGATTTGGCCGTATTTGTTGAGAGTTTCCGGGTTTCCATCAAAGAACAAGCTATGTTGAGTGTGCAATCGTCGGCTTTTCGAGATGATCAAGTGATTAAGGAACGATTCCGAGAATTCATTGAAACGAAGCTCAACGATTGCCGCCGAATCGGCTTGGATTTTTGTACCGATTTCTCGTTCCACTTCTACGACGGCGCTTTGGGGAAGACGCGCGTGAGATTCGTGCAGGTACGGCTTTGGTCTCTTAATTTTAAAGTTAATTTCTAACGTTCTGCATCATTATTAGCTGAATATCATTGAAAATCCGGTAAAATTGTACTAAAACACTAGAAAACGTAAGTTTACAGTTAGCATCAGCCAACTCTGGCATTTGATCTAAATTTACGTTTGTGTTTGGCATTTGAACTTTTACAAGTTTAATCTGCTGCCCTTTTGACATTTGTTTCAACAAGGAAATCGTTTTTTTCGGCATACAAAACATATTTATCCCTTGATTTAAAGATATTCAGCGAATAGCGATGAGTAGGGTTGAGCGCATTGGGAAATTCAAGCGAATTTGATCATTTTCTTATTAATTTTAGACGGATTGGGTTAAATAAATTGGCAATATTAAATGTATTAGACAAATTTAGAGAAATTTTCGCCTGGATTTTGCCACTTTTCCTAAGCCCTTTTTTGGGAAATACTTGAGAATATTAAGCATTGAATATTCGGATTTTATATCGATAAGGTTTTTCTTTAGGTGTCGACGGTGACGAATATCTTTCCGCTGATCGTTTCATCGATTGTCGAACATGGGATCGCAATTCAAAACCTCGAGGCGTCTTTTCGTGTTGACGGGGGTCGAGTACCGGCAATGCTAAATGCCGGAGTTGTGGATTTTCTGACGAAATTCCCGGGAATGCGAAGAATTGATGGGGAAATGCGGGAAAAACTCATGCGCCTCGGAAACGATCGTTTAAGCGATGAAAATTCGCCATTTGATGCAGAAAGTTTCTGTTTCCGACGGAATATCGACTCGGTCAGAGATTGCGTGTACATTTGCCCGTCGAACTCGCAGTATGCTCACTTTTTCGCTTTCTATGTGCCACCTGAAGATTGTTAAAATCTCTGTAATTACGTTTTGCTAACTTTTTAATTTAATTATTAACTTTTTTCTCAATTTTAACTTTTCAATTTTTGATCTTGCTGTGAAAAATAAAGCTGTAGATAAACAAAGATTTATTTTGAGGGAAATTGAATTGTGGTTTTACACGACCCTGGACTATTTTTGACATTGTATTTTGGAAAGCCCATTACAAAAAAAACTTGGTCAAAGTGTTATATTGTGAAGAACGCTTTGCAAAACTTGTGTCATGTAAATGGGACAAAAATGATACGGATGAATACGAGCAAGATCGCCGAGTCCATAGTTCAAACGATTGTCGAGCAGGACATCCAAAACAAGAATTCTAACGCCGAAGTGACCCAGATTGATTCGGAAATTGATACGGGAAATTGTTTTCCAGGTTTTGAGCAGATCTCCAATCGATATTTTTCTAATATCTTGAAAAAGCATGTGAGATACTCACTTGATTTCACGGACTGTCTATTTCCTCGACGAAACATTGACTCGAGAAATAATTTGGACACGCTTTTTGAAGAAATTTCATCAGTTTTCAGGAAAAGGCCATGAAAATAAATTACAGTGAGTAGTACCAACCGATAGAGAAAAAGGGAAAATGAGATGGGTAGGGAATTTAAAAAAAGCTTTGAAAATGACAAATCTACTGAAAAAATTTAACCCTGCAGAAAAATAAAGTCAATTTTTCCACATTGAGCGAATTTTTGAGTGGTTTATCTGAAATTTCTAAGAAGGTAGTGGTTTAAGGTGAAGGATTGGATCAGCATAGTGATCGAAAAGACATGGCGGGCATTGGGAATCCAATGCTGCATTTAGTTTTTGCCTAAACCCCGTGGTTTTCGAGAAAGACGCGTTGCAAATTTGGGTACCTACCCTACTCCGGTTGATAACGGTTCTTTTCCCTCCCTTCTAGCATGGCGGGTTGGTGTAATGGTAGGTGTGCTTACTGTCAATCACACTTTTTCCTTTTTACCACGGGTTCGGATCCGCTTCACGAAATAATTTTTTGCTTTGACTGGCCTTGACTTATTTGCTTTGACTGCTTTGACTAGATTGACTATTATTTTACAGATAGAAGACTTGACTTTTAAATATACATTTAGAACTAGCCGATAGTACTCGAAAGACTTTCGGCTAGCCGATTGTGCTCGGAGTTTTATTTGTAAAGTCACAAGAAGATAATTACGAGGTGTGTATGTAGGTAAATTATGTCCTTAACTTTTGTGGACTTTTATTAGCTTATTGTCTTTTTAACGATACGCCCCGGTTCTCTTCGTTTGGGTCGGTTCGATTTTTTTGCACAACCGGGATGATTTGCGCAACTAGGTCTTGGCGCAACTGCGCAACTCGCCATAACTTTCTTCTAAGTCGGTCAATCTTTATGATTTTTGGATTTCATTTTGTAGATCTCAACAAGTGCAACAAAATGATATTTATGTTTATTATGTTTATTATGCATTATGTTTATTATGTTTATTATGCACCACGATGCCGGTAGAAAGTTTTGATTTTATGGCAAAAATATCATGGTGGTGACCATTAACCTTCCGATTGGAAGATGACATTTAGAGAAATAAACTTATTTGATTCAGTGAAGAAGTACTTCAACTAGTCAGACTAAGATCCCGTCTACCCTCCCGGCCACAACGACTCTTCAAGAATCTCTCGGAAACGTAAAAATTCATTCAATTTTTCATACCACCATGTTGACCACCACCATGGTCACCACCATCAGATTTTTTGAGAATCGGAAGTTAACTCTATTTTGACCACGCTAAACTTGTCCCTAAACTCGATTCCTTTTTTGGACACTCGCATTTCGCGCTCGAAATTTCTTTAATGGTTCCATCAATTGAAAAGCGTTTTGGCCGGTTTTGTAGAGGAGATTTACAATTTTCAAATAGTTTATTTTGGCTTGGTGAATTGAAAACTTCCGGCTATTGTCATATGTGACAGTTTGAGCACTTTCTTCAAAAGAAACCAATTTTGGTGTCAATGGAAAAGTTGTAGAGAATCAAAAATTAAGCTTATATCCAGATTTTTAGAACGTTTCAAAAACTGGTTTTCAAGAAATGCGAAATTTACGAATTTTCACAAAACCTGCATTTTATGCGAAACTACTAAGTGTATCTTTTTGGAAATTTGGCTATAAGCCTAGTTTTTGATTCTCTACAACTTTTCTATTGACACCAAAATGGGTTTCTTTTGAAGAAAGTGCTCAAACTGGGAGTATTCCATCCTCCTCTCCAGTCCTCCATTTTTGAGTCTCACACTTGTCTCACACACAAACAGGAATCCGCAAATTGCCTGTAAAATGGGGAGAAATCGTCAATAATAATGGAAATTATGTCGAATGAATTCATGGTTTTAGGATTAATAAATTATAGTTCAAAGTCCGGCAGTTTTCAATTCACCAACCCAATAAGATAAGAATTCTTTGAAAATGGTGAATGCAACCGAATTCACAGTCAAATCGTCAAAAAAAAGAGCATTAAGCTTCAAAACTCCATCATTTCCGATTGCGATTGAATGTAGAAGGTGCAAAGCCGTAATCATCGAAGTACGACGAAAGCATGTGGACACTCTCTGCTCGAGTGAATGTTTCGTCGAAGAATTAGAACGTCCGTGAAAGCAAGTTTTGACATGCTTTTTCAAGAGTTCGGCCGCCATTTTGGTGACTTCTTGCTGATTTTCTCCGTCCAATCGCTTCATTCCAAGGAATTGCGAAAGAAAATCGACGATTCGAGCATTTATCTCCCGAGAATCGTGGGTTCTCATATAATCGCTGGTATGCACATAAAAAGCTACCTTCGAATTCTTGCTCAGGATCCGCTTTTTAACGATTGATTGCACGATCTCTTCAAAGTGTTCAGAGTGAGCAAGCATTATCAAGAATTTTACCGAAGTCTTGGCAAAAGCCGACGTCATTCTTTTACGGTTGATCGTTGACGTCGTTCTATATGTAAATAAAACAATTAGATTTCGTAAAAACATGTAGACAATTAGAATTAAAAGCTTCTAGACAAAATTCTAAATAATCGCTCGATAACCCCGCTTATCAACTATGAGAAGAACGACTATGAAAAATTTCAACGTCGAACTACCAAAAATGGTCAAAAAAATGTTAGATTTTCCCCTTGAAAGTAAGAAAAGAAAATGCAAAAATCGCGGCTAGCTTTTTGTTTTCACTTATTGGCTATCGTATTTTCAAGCCTTATTTTTTGAATGAAATAAATGATGATTGAAATTTTCATGAAAATCCAAACAACTCGTTACACAATAAAAGAGCAACAATTGAAAATGAAAACAAATTGAAAACGATCGATTCATTTTTGACAACTTCTGCCCGGGTTGCACAGGGAATCTCGAAAATGGATGGATTGGATGAAATAAATGAGAATGAAACAATGTCATGATGAAAGCACTAAAACTGTGCAAGACAATAAAAGTTCTCAATACTCCATCATTTCCAATTGCGGTTGAACGTAGAAGGCGAAAAATTGTGTATAACCGCTGTGCGATGAAAGCATTTAGACACAATCTCTGCTCGAGTCAATGTTTCAATGTCAATGTTTCGTCGAAGAATTAGAGCTGAAATAAAGGGAGTATTCGACACGCATAAAGGGAATCAATTTGAAAGACAGAACGGGTAGGTCAAATTACAGAAAATTGTCGATTTTTCTCTTTGTATAACTCCGTCCGTTTGCTTCCACAAGCTCTGATATGTCAAAATTTCGATTCTACGCCCTAGAATTATCTAGAAAAACAACTTTTGGAATAGAAATTGGTAATATTAGCTTTTAGAGCTTTTTTAAAACGCGAAAAAAGGTGCGCTCATGGGCTAAGTGCGGAAAAAAAGGTGCGCAAATGTCCGGGTGCGCAAAAAAAGGTCGCATTTGTCCCACTCCCAAAATAAGAAAAGAAATTGCAAAAATCGAGGCCTTTTCTATACCCATTGGCAAACGAGTATTTCGCCGGTTAGCTGAGTATCTTCAGCAAAAAATATTCAGCTAATTATTTTGTATTTAACGACAAAACTTTCGCTAAATTTTAGAACACTCATTCATTTTACAGGCACTTCCCTGGCAGGCAACTATTTTATTTTGACTTTTGTTCTCTGTTTGCTATTTAAAACCACTTATCAACCTGTAAATATGTTTTTTTTTCAGAGATGGTGCTGCCGGCACCTCTGATTCGAGTACAACTTGAGCTCAGCCACGACACGCCGGCCACTTCACTCCGCTCCACGATCGCCGATCTCTCCTCGCTGCCGAATCGCCGAATCGCAGTAGTTTTTGAGTTTGTTTTTGGCCTTTGATCTAAATGCTTTTGCTTTTATAAAGCTTTCTAGTGTCCTCTGTAGGTATTTTGTTGCCTTCTCTATGACCATGTAATTTATACAACCGCTTTCTAAACAAATCAAGGAATACTTGTTCTATACTTGTTCAAAAAAGGGCAGTAGAAATCAATCTTTTTTGGACAATGATTAACAAATTTCAAACTGCAATCTTACCCTTCCGTATCAAAATAAAATGTATGACAATTTTTTCAGCTTCTTTTCCTTTTACTTTCTAGGTGATTGGCAATGCCAAAGTTGAAGTGAAAAAAGAATGGTTGGAGATGAAAGAGAAAGAAATAGCGATGAGAGAAAGGTGGTTCAAGTTGTGATTGTTGTGGTTCAAGTTGTGATTCATTGCTTCGACCACTTATTTGTCAAGCTGCAAAGGTAGGTTTTCTTGCACTTTTAAACTTTTCAATCTACATCTTTAATTCTTTTCTTTAGGAAGGAAATGAGATGCTCGACGAGTTGCTATGGAAAGTATGCATCAAATGAATCAAAATCGAGTCGTAAACCGGGTGCGATGATGGGGAGAACGTGAACGAATCGACGTCCCTGATCGAGGATGTTTATGTGATGGTGGGGCTTTTAACGGTTTTCAGCAAAATTCCACTAGCTAATGCTTCAAGCTATGTTTGCTAAACGAGTAATGGTTAAGAATTTGAATTCTAGCGAACATTTACCTGATTTTTGCCTTATCATTAATACTAGCTAATCGTTTATCAAGCGTTAGCAATAATCTTAGCGGTTTTTCAGTAGCGTAAAAAATTGATACTGGTTCTTTGCCAACTTCTACCGTTATTCTAAAGAGTCCAATCCGAGGTTGAAGCATTGAACAGATGCCCAAAAGAAAGTTTTATCTGTGGTTGTAGTCGGCTGCTTACCGTAAAACGTCATTTAAAATAGAAAAGACTTTTCCACTTTAATGGTTAATGAAGAATTGCAGAAATTGTAAATTTTCAGATACGAGAATGCCTGTTGAAACGCGCGTACAAAAGCGAAAGCGAGAAACCGAAAGAATGAAAAATTTCTGTTTTACAGGACTTTTATGAACGTATTGCTAGTTTATTAAAACCTGTTTTTCTTGAGCGTGAATGTGATTACGGGTGTTTTACGGTATTTGGTAACCTTTGTAATGTTTACTTGTTAATTTTCTAATAATAAAGTTACTACTTAAGGTGTTTTCGAGCAGTGATTTGGTTCAAGGACCATATTATTTTTGATTTATGACCTATTTTGTGAAATTTTAAGCTTTGTTTCGGAAGTTTTGCTTATGGTTCCCCTTCTCCCTAGGCAAACTCCTAATTGCTCTGATTTTTATGTAATTAGGAAAGTTGTTGGCTTAAAAAGGTTAAGAAAAGCCAAATTTGACGTTTGACCCCAAGAACATTAGAAAACCATTTTGTCACCAAAAATTGATTGCTTTTTGTGTTGTTTGTTTTCTTTGCTGTTTTCTTTTACAGGTGCAAGAATGTCGGTCGAGATGCGGTATGAAATGAGGAATTTGACGTCGTTTCCGATGCAGCAGCTTTGTTACGATCTGAAGTTGGAAGTGCTGGAGGAAATGGACGCGGACGATACGATTGAGTTGGTCAAAGTGAATGCGGGATTTCAATGGATGCTTGCACGCAATCCGTCGCTCGTTTTCAACCACCACGTGGGCCTGATTTTAATGAAACTATTTCAGGACGAGAAGTTTATAATCCGGGAGTTCTTTAGAAAAGAAATGATATGCTCGACGAGTTGCTATGGAAAATGTGCACCAAATGGATCAAAATCGGACCGCGGGCCTGGTGTGGTGATGGGCAAAGCGCGGATTTTTCGATCACACAACTCGATTGGACTTCGTGGACTCAAGTCGATTGGATGAACTCCGTCGCAAATTGAATTTTGAATTTAAAACGCCGAAATTTAAAATTAAAATTTTACGTTTTGAATGTTTACTTGTTAATTTTCTAATAATAAAGTTACTACTTAAGGTGTTTTCGAGTGGTGATTTGGTTCAAGGACCATATTATTTTTGATTTATGACCGATTTTGTGGAATTTTAAGCTTTGTTTCGGAAGTTTTGCTTATTATTTAGATTTTCCCTAGGCAAATCGCTAATTGCTCGGATTTTTATGAAATTAAGAAAGTTGTGGGCTTAAAAAGGTTATGAAAAGCCAAATTTCACGCTTGACCCCAAGAACATTAGAAAACTATTTTCTCACCAAAAATTGATTGCTTTTTATGTTTTCTCTTTCATTTGTGGACAAGAACCAATTGTTTTCTTTTACAGGTAGAAGAATGGCGCTCAAGAAGCGAATTCTAATGTGGAATCTGAGGTCGTTTCCGATGAAGAAGCTCTGTTACGATCTAAAGCTGGAAGTGCTGGAGGGAATGGACGCGAAAGATACGATTGAGTTGGTCAAAGTGAATGCGGGATTTCAATGGATGCTTTCACACAATCCGTCTCTCGTTTTCAACCACCACGTGGACGAGATTTCAATGAATCAATGTGAGGACGAAAAGTTTAAAATCCGGAAGTTCTCCGTCTCCAGATATATTGATGCGAATCATCTTCCACTAAGCAAACGAATCCATTCGTGTGACAGGTTGGAGATATACTTTGGAACAGGGGAGTATGGCGGACAACTCAACAACGAACACGCGACGATTCTGAATCAATTGAACTCTGTGAAACGTTTGGATCTCTCATTGCGCAAAAAGGAGTGTTTGCTGAAATTTTTTGACAGTTTCCGCTCGATGATTGCAGAATTCGCTTCGATTCGGCTGGACATTGATTCGTTTAAAGAAAATCAAGTGATGAGCGAGCTTTTTGAGAATTTCATTTCAAATCAGCTGAATGACTGCGAAGACGTCGTCTGGTGGTATTATTCTCGTTCTGCCGCGGCGTTTCACTTCTACTACGATGCTTTTGCCAAGACTTCGATCAAAATCTTGAGAATTTCAACCAAAGGGGATAACTTTGAAGAGATCGTGCAATCAATCGTGGAAAGGGGGATCCCAAGCCAGAATTCGAAGGCAGCTTTTTTTGTGTATGACAGCGGTTATATGGGAACCGATGTTTCTCAGGAGAGGAGGGCCCGAGTCGTCGATTTTCTTTCGCAATTTCGTGGAATGAAGCGATTCGACCTAGAAAATCACCAAGAAGTCACCAAAATGGCGGGCGAACTCGTGAACAAGTATTTGTACTGCTTTCCTTTGGACGGTCCACTTTTTCGACGAAACATTGACTCGAGCAGAGATTGTGTCTACATGCTTCCCTGCCGCGGCAAATTCGATCGATTTTTCACCTGCTACATTGAACCACAATAGGAAATGATCGTGTTTTGAGGGTTTTTGTCGAGTCTTTTACAATTTGGTGCTTTCATTGTTTAATTTTGCCGATTTTTAGTTCTCTAAGAAATAAAGTAGTACAATTTCTCTTTTTGAACGATGATTTGTTGTGTTGAAGACATGGCGATATCTTTTTTGATTATTTTATGATGGAAACTTTAATGTTTCCGCTACACGAATCGAATCGGTCAGGGATTGAATCTACATCATATCGGCTTCATGTTAGTTTGGTGCCATGAACGTCTCGCACGAATGAAATGATCACTCATTGCTGATTCTCGTTGTCATGATTTTTTCTCATGTTCTATCGTTGTTATTGGCAAGAGGCTTGAATTTGTTAAACTTTTGAGAAATAGTTCTTTTAAATGCTTCGCTGACTGTTCTTACTACCCCAGCGACAGCATCCCCGAAGGATCAAGAACTTCAATGAGAATTTTTTTATGTGTTTGAGAATTCTTTGATGACTTGTTGTGGAAGCGGATCTTCTGGGCCGTGTGCCTGTGCCTGTATTATGTGTGTTTGTGTAACTTGTATCGAACCAAACATGTAACGGCGAAAGCGGTTTTTCTTGTTCCTTTGTCGGGTTCCACGTCGAGGTTCACAGGATGCCGATTGAATGGCGAGCACTCATTCCCAATATAACGGTTTGATCAGGTAAGCTTTAACTAAAATAACTTGAACTTTTTAACTTTAGATTTCCGTGCCTGAAGGGAGGTCCAATGGAATGGACAGCCTCGACCGGTCGACACTGACGCCTTTGTTTGCACAAGATGCACCCTTTTGGCCGAGATGAAGGTAAATCATAAAGGTAAGGGTTAATGTTTTTGGCTCTCATACCCCTACGATTCTATTTAGTACGCTACAAGGCGATCTTCCGATCCTGGTCACTCGCCCCGTTCAATATGCAAAAGGATTTGTATGGTGATGTTGGAAAGATACGATCGAGTTGGCCAAAGTGAATGCGGGATTTCAATGGATGCTTTCACGCAATCCTCGCTCGTTTTCAACCACCACGTGGACACGATTCGCTTGGATGACGAGAGGATTTGGCTCAAGAAGTTCCCGGACTCGCCCGGAGCCGCGCTTAATCTCGTTCGCCACTTTCCGCTCATCAAGGCCATCAATTCATGCGACAATTTGACGATTGACGCGGGAGAGGAACCTTTCACTAATCGGCACACCGAATTCTTCAGTCATTTCAAATCCGTGAACCATTTATGGCTTTTTCTGGGTGACGGCGACTATTTGGCCGTATTTGTTGAGAGTTTCCGGGTTTCCATCAAAGAACAAGCTGTGTTGAGTGTCGTCGGCTTTTCGTCGGCTTTTCGAGATGATCAATTGATTAAGGAACGATTCCAAGAGTTCATTGAAACGAAGCTCAACGATTGCCAGGGAATCGACTTGGATTTTTGTACCGATGCCTCGTTCCACTTCTACGACGGCGCTTTGGAGGAGATGCGCGTGAGATTCGTGCAGGTACGGCTTTGGTCTCTTAATTTTAAAGTTAATTTCTAACGTTCTGCATCATTATTAGCTGAATATCGTTGAAAATCCGGTAAAATGGCACTAATGGCACTAAAATGGCACTGAAACACTGGAAAGTCGTAAGTTTTCAGTTAGCATCAGCCAACTCTGCCATTTGAGCTAAATTTGCTCATTTACGTTTGTGTTTGGTCTGCTGCCCTTTTGACATTTGTTTCTACAAGGAAATCGTTTTTCTTGGGCATACATTTATCCCTTGATCTGAAGATATTCAGCTAATAGCGATGAGTAGGGTTGAGCGCATTGGGAAATTCAAGTGAATTCGATCATTTTGTTACTAATTTTAGACGGATTGGGTTAAGTAAATTGGCAATATTGAGGGTATTAGACAAATTTAAAGAAATTTTCGCTTTCAAGAACCTAATTTTCGTCTGGATTTTACCAGTTTTCCTAAGCCCTTTTTTTGGGAAAGACTTGGGAATATTAAGCATTGAATATTCTTATTTTATATCAATAACGTTTTTCTTTAGATGTCGACAGTGACGAATGTCTTTCCGCTGATCGTTTCATCGATTGTCGAACATGGGATCGCAAGTCGAAACCTCGGGACGTCTTTTCGTGTTGACGGAGGTCGAGCACCGGAAATGAATGACCAAGTTGTCGATTTGCTGACGAAACACCCGGGAATGCGAAGAATTGAAGGGGAAATGCGAGAAAAACTCATGCGCCTCGGAAACGATCGTTTAAGCGATGAAAATTCGCCATTTGATGCAGAAAGTTTCTGTTTCCGACGGAATATCGACTCGGTCAGAGATTGCGTGTACATTTGCCCGTCGGACTCGCCGTATACTCACGTTCTCGCTTTCTATGTGCCACCTGACAATTGCTAAAGTCTCTGTGATTACGTTTCGCTAACTTTTCCATTCAATTTTTAACTTTTTTTAAAATTCTGACCTTTCAATTTTTGATCTTGCTGTGAAAAATAAAGCTGTAGATAAACAAAGGTTTATTTTGAGGGAAATTGAATTGTGGTTTTGCGCGACCCTTGACTATTTTTGACATTTGGGAAAATCGAATTTTCGCCTTATTTAAAGTGATTTATCAATTCAAAAACAGATATGAGATCATCGGGAAAAGGAGAAATTTCGATGTGAAAATCGAAGCGACTTCACTACCGTAATCCCATGGGTTGCGCATGTGTCTGGAATGAGGAAAAATGGATATTAGCTTCAAATTTGGCTCACCTTTGCTTCTCGGGCTTCTTGAAGAGATCCTCGTTTCGGCAACACCGCAACCCGCAACAGTACTCCACATAGCGTTGGCACCTGACAAATCAGCTTTCTAAGGATCGATTGGCTTTTCTAAGGATGGATGGGCTTTCTTTTTAAGAACAGGCTCTCTTTTGGATGTCACACTAGCGAATCCACCATTCTCTATTGGGTTTTAAAGCATTTCAATTCAGGCACAAAGTCGCGGTTCAGTTGCACGGCCTAAAGTGCACTTTTTCGACGGTAACCCCATGTGAAAGAAAACTTTTTCGAGCATCTGGAGCACACTGCACAAACTCACTGATAGATGATCTCGTGAATTTGAATATTCGTCGACCCTGGGTTCGGCTCCTCGTAGTGGAGTTGCGACTTCGCGACCGGATCGAGCTCATACGCGCACGTGTCTCGCGTCTCCAGCCAGTAGCGGTTATCCTGGAAGGCAGGGTTGAATTTAAATCAATTTGGAAAGCCAACCAATCGATAATATCGCTGTCCGAACCAAAAACTCCGTCGGTATCGATCCAACCAAACGCGGTCGTTGAATTGCTGAAAACAGAAGAGGCTTGAAATTCAGTTTCCAACGCAAATTCCCCAGTCTCACCTTTATTCTCCACGTTGTAAAACCCTGTGTAATCGTCCTTGTCAACAAATTGTAAATCTGCGAATTCGCCGTCTCATCCCCGTCAGTGGCATACGTGTTCGAGAGGGATCTAGAAAAAATCCAAAATAAAAAGAAAAGCTAGCGGCTAAACAATGCTGTGCACTCCAGAAAAGCCGATTTAGCCAGAAAAACAAACTAGAGACGATTTGGGAAGGGCCAAATTTGACCAGTCCGAAATCCCGATTAGACTACGAAGCCAGAAAAGCGAAATCTCTCAAAATAAACAAAAATTTTCTCGCTTAATTTTCTCAATTGGATGTCAGCACAGGTAAAATTCGCAAAATTCGTCGCTTACCTCGTTCTTGTCGCGTTCGGCGGTGGCCAATGTGTCATTGGGTATTGCCTGAAAGTCTGAAGTCAGTGAAACGGAGTTTTAAAGGGTTTTAAACGCTCTAGAATCTCTTTGTGCCCTCCAGAACGAACCTTCGACTCCTCAGAAATTTGTGTTGATGATCAGAATTGGCAGAAATAAGAGTGAAACAGAAAAATGTCGTGACAAGCAATAGCATGATCGATTTTTTGAGGGAAATGGTGCTTGTACCAATGCACGTGACACCCAGGTGGAGGGGAAAGGGGGGGAAGGGGAGGAATGGACAAACAAGACGAGAGGGATGCAGGGGATCCAGTGAACACTACGAATCAATACGGCTTACGGGATGCCGTAGAGGGTGACTCATCTGATTACGGACAAAAAGGGAAATTGCGCTTTTTTGAATTCCAATCGCTAGCGTGCCTTCCAGGATTTATAGAGAGAAATTTGGTTTTTCAAATTTCAGCAAAGGAAACGAGAAAATGGCTCGGTTGCATTACGCAACTAAATCAACTCTAATTTTTTCACTTTCTAATGACTAAACATGTTCAATCGTCAATCTGCATTCCAGGATTAGTGAATTCCAGCTAAATACTTTGATTTACAATACAAGAAGCCGAATTATGGCTTGGTCGGCTTAAACTGGCGCTACCAGCAAGATGGGAATCCGGCTTAAGCTTAGGCTTGGCTTAGGCTTAGGCTTAGGCTTAGGCTTAGGCTTGGCTTAGGCTTGGCTTTGGTTGGCTTGGCTCGTCTTGTGGAGTGAAAGTAAGTTCAATTTGTTCAACAGTAATGGCAACTACATCATCAAGAGATCCACTGGAACACGATACAATGTGCTGCTAAATGTAATAATGAACTTAAACTGGCGCTACCAGCAAGATGGGAATCCAAAACCGACAAGTGAATCATGAACGGTATGAAATATCGGGTTGAAAAGAAAACTAAAGAGCCGGCCTGAAGTTTTCGTGAGATTGCTTGGCTGGTTTTGCTGCCAATAATGTCAATAACCTGAGCCTAAGACTAAGCCTAAGCCTAGGCCGAAGCCTAAGCCTAAGTCCAAGCCTAAAGAAAGCCCAGCTCGATACTGAAGGTATTTATTTTGTTAGAAAATAAATAACTTTTGAGGTGAGGTCGAAAATTGTCGAAGCTTTTGAACTGCCGTTTTTTTGAGCCCCGAAACTTTGGAGCTCAGAAATTTAGCTTGCAGCGCTTTTTCCTAAGCGCTCGTTGTGTTTTTCGAAATCTACGCATAAAAATACCCCAGAAAAAGTGGCTTTAGAGGTTATTTTTTCTTTTAGATATGTTGTGGTAATGGGAGGAGTAGCTGCGTGGAAAACACATTGCAAACACATACATCTATGGGGACACCCATTCACTCAATCCCTGAAACTAATGGACTCGAGCCCTAGCTACCGTAGACTTTTTGACTTCGACAAATTTGCAAAAGTCGAGTTTTTCTTTTGAGGAAATTCTAAGTTGCGTTCCAGCTTAGAACTTTTGTTTTTGGGTGTTTTTGAAATCTTGGACGAGAGCGGAGAAAAATCGAGTTGAAATTCCATCACCAAAATGGATTTTCGGAAAATTCTCAAAAATCGGCTTTTCTTTTGAGAAAATTCTAAGTTGCATTCCAGCTTAGAACTTTTGTTTTGGCTGTTTTTGAAATCTTCAACGAGAGCCGAGAAAAATCGAGTTGAAATTCCATAGTCAAACTGGATTTTCGGAAAATTCTTAAAACTCGAGCTTTTCTTTTGAGGAAATACCAAGTTGCATTCCAGCTTAGAACTTTTGTTTTGGCTATTTTTGAAATCTTCCACGAGAGCCGAGTAATGGGAGGGGTAGCTGCGTGGCAACACATTGCAAACACATCCATCTAGGGGGTACACCCATCCACTCAATCCCTGAGACTAATGGACCCGAGTGTACGGTGAGAGCCAGGAGACGGGGAAGAGATGAGAAGAGACAGAGACCAATCGATCCGCGCCGTCTCGTCGCCATTTTCCTTTTGCCACAACAGAGTTGATCTTCGCTCGCCTATTCCTTTACGCCGGCTGCTCTGGGGCCTCCGCAAAATCCCTAGTGCCTTCCAGCTTGTACATTCTTCGTCTCCAAAACCCCCGCACTCTTTTCCAGTTCCCAGGGTTTTCGATCAGCACCTTCCCTTTGCTGTCTCCAGACATTTTCTTTCTCGAGCCAATTCTCGAGAGAAGACGAATTTTGCGTGTGCTGACATCCACTTGAAACAATTGAGCGAGAAAATTTTTGTTTATTTTGAAAGATTTCGTTTTTCTGGCTTCGTAGTTTAATCGAGATTTAGGACTGGGCAAATTTTGCTTTTTCCAAATCGTCTCTAGTTTGTTTTTCTGGCTAAATCGGCTTTTCTGGAGTGCACAGCATTGTTTAGCCGCTAGGTTTTCTTTCGATTTTGGATTTTTTGCAGGTCCCTAATCGAGATTTGGGACTGGGTAAATTTTGCTTTTTCCAAATCGTCTTTCGATTGATTTTCCGGTGGAACCGGCTTTTCTGGATGGCACAGCATTGTTCAGCCGCCAGTTTTTCTTTCTATTTTGCATTTTGGTATTTTGTAGTCTTCGCTCTCCTCTTTTCTCTCCCTCTCCACCAAAACCCAAATCCCAAAGTCCTCAAAGTTATTCAATTTTGCTCAATTTGCTCAAAATTTGCTCAATTGTGTTCCAGATTTAAGAACAGGCCAAGTTAAAACCCTGAAAGTGCTAAATCTCCTCCCAAATTCACCCAATCTTTTGCATTTTACGAAATCATCGACTTTTAAGCAGATTTTGCTCAATTTCGAAAAGCTTTTTTGCTTGGATTTACGTTTTTGGATGTCACAAATGAAATTGGATCTGGGTAGTTGCGAAAATTTCGCATTTTACTTGTAGAGACACTTGGGCTAACTGATCCGAGCAATTTTTGACGAATTTCCTCAAATAAGCTGGCATTTTTAAAATTTAAATCTGCATTCTGGATGTCACAAGGAAGCTGGAATGTGTTCGATTTTTGAAATTTTTAATTTTTCACATTTTTTCAACATAGTCAGTACCTCTCCTTTGTGCCCAGCTTCACCTCCATTCCGATTGATTTTTTGAGCTCAAACTCTTATCGGTTTTCCGTCACAGCGCTTTGCCTGCCATTTTCTTCTTCTTCTTCTTTGTTTATTTGTTCATTTTACAAATTTGACGAATTTTTGGTTCGATTACCCAATCGTGTTCTTGAATTTTTTTTATTTTTATTTTCCGGCTTCCGAATATTTCTCAAAAACTAAAATGCACTCCAGATGGGCTAAAAATAAGCAAAGAAACTTTCGTTGCACCTGTCGGAAAGAATATTTTGTACCAATCTTGTACCTTGGCTATTGAGACCGTTGGTTGAATATCTTTAAATGGCAAAATTAATAAAGCTATGGATTTTTCTTTTGTTAAATGTTAAATGGCCTTAAGGAAAAAAGTTGAAAGAAAAGCCGTAGCCGTCATTGAGGCCAAAAAAGAAAATTATCAATATCGGATTTCGAGTTCAGAGATTGACGCTCAAAAACTGTCGCAAATGCGAGTTTTGCTGATTTTGTCATCGATTTTGGCGAAGCTGGATAGCAGCACGGCTTTTCCAAATCCTTGCTTTCAATATTTGAGTGATCCGAAAAAATCGTTATGTCCAGTGGATGTCCTGAATAGTGAAAAATTAGCATTTAAGAATTGAAGCGTTTTATCTCCTAGAATCAGTCTAGTGACATCCAGCATAGCCTTTAAAAATGTTAACTACGAAATCGATTACCATTTAAGACTGTAAATGGGCGTCGTTATTTTCACTGCGTCACCATTACCTCCGTGGGATCTATTTTCAAAGCTGACACCTGAAACTTCTCTGGTGACATCCAGTTTGAAACTTTAACACTCGAAAAAAGCGCTAGCCTCGTCCAGAGTTCATTTCCGTAGTCAGTCACGTTGCATCGACTTGCGCTCTATATTTGCCTCTGTTCGAGAACGAGAGGAGTGAACGATTTGTGTCTTTTTGCGGTTGGGGATGGGTGTAGACATACCAAACACAAATACAGATCGAATCGGGGAGAGGAGGCGAGAGGGCAACCCTGTACAGAACACAGACAGAGATAACAGGCACAGCGCCCGGAGAGACGGAGACCGGGAAAAGAAATCCGTAGCTGACAATGCGGGGAAAAGACGCGCTGACTCCCAGCATCTCCCGTTTTGCACGTTTTTGAGCACTCTTTTGCAAGCAATTGCTATTTTTTGCTGGCCACCCCTCCACCCCTCAACCCTTTTTGTCTAAGTGCATATTTTCTCCAAGTTTCTCGTAAAGATCAACTTTGTGACATCCAGATTGAATATTTTTCTGTGAAATTCTTAAAAATCTCTTATTCTCAGCCTTCTACAGCGCCAGTCCTAAAACTATTTCTGACGAATTTTTAAATTTTCCGAATTTCGTTTTAATTTTGATTTCTTTACTTAATGTGCGCTCCAGATTAGCCGATTTTTCGATTTTGGAAGCTTTTTTGGTGAAATTTTTCCTTAAAATTGACCAAACATTGTTTAGCGGAGGGGTTTCTTTTTGAAAAGGGGAAAAAGACACGGAAATCTACTGTATTCTTTTTATTTTTAGCGCCAAAATCGATTCTGGATCCTGTTCAGAAAAGCTTCAAAAAAAAGAGCTTCAAAAAAGTAGAGTTGTCAAGAAGTTAGTGTATCCGGTGATGGTCAACGACAAGATTGGCCCTTTTAAAGCCCCTACAAAGCCTCAGTTTCTTAGAAATTCCAATTTTTTGGCTTCCTGGAAGGCATCAGTTCCAATTACAACATTGTCAAACACTAGCTTGCACTTTTATACAGTTCCAATTACAACATTATACGCAAGGAAACTAACGACGCTCATTAACAGTCTTAAATGGTAATTGATTTCGTAGTTAACGTTTTTAAAGGCTATGCTGGATGTCACTGGACTGATTCCAAGAAATAAAACTCTTCAATTCTTAAATGGTAATTTTTGGTATACGCAGTGAAACTAACGACGCCCATTTACCGTCTTAAACGGTAATCGATTTCGTAGTTAACGTTTTTAAAGGCCATTCTGGATGTCACTGCACTGATTCTAAGAGATAAAACACTCCAATTCTTAAATGTTAATTTTTGGTATACGCAGTGAAACTAACGACGCTCATTTACGGTCTTA